ACGCAGGTAAATGCACTTGATTTGGTCCAGCATGTTCGGCGTTTTTCCACCAATGTCCACAAAGCAGCTGGACCATCCACGAACTTTTGTCTATGTTTGTCTTGATTCCACTAACGAGGTTAAATGAAGGCATCCATAAAGTCCGCAAAATGATCTGCAGAAGTCCTATGACACACCGACCTACTGTATCCTGTCATGTGTCCGTGTCAAAAACACACAGTCTTTCGGACCCCATGTCCTCATACGTCCTCCATCTCGTTCGCTCCGCCTCCATCCACCCGCTCGCTCCAACCCGGCTTCTTCGGGTCCAGGCCCATTTCACATCGCAGAGCCGCCGCAGCGCCATGGCCTCGCGAGCCTTTCGCCGCACTCGGCTCAGATGTTGGTTGCTGGCCTCAACAGTGCACTGTGCCACACTCTCGACACCAAATGGTGGGGAAAGGCACTGGAAGGTTGGACATGTCAGATTTTATCTTGTCATCGTGCAATCCCTGCCGTCCTCAACAAGCCGAGCCCACCTGAACGGCGATGCCGGCAGACGCTGCATCCTCAGCGTCTTCGAATCTATCCAAGTCAAACAAGGCCTGGCGAGGGAAGGGATCATCACCTGAGGGTCTACAGCAGGTATGTATGTATGTCTGGGTTCGTAGTGACAGCAGGTCATTAGGGCTGGTCATCCCATCCTATGCACCTTTGGATAGGTAAAGTTGGAAAGCAACGATCATTATGATTTCTATCGAAAGGACACAAGAAACAGGGGTACTGAGGTGATCCTATATATATGATTGTCTTCCAACACTGACTCAGCTAATTTGCATGGTACAGTACTTCTTGGCAGCTTCCTCGGATCTGTCTCTCTGTGGGCGGCTTCTCGCGAAATAGCCCGTGTCACCTGTGCACGTCGCCAGTAGGCCTCGCAAAGTCAAGGCTGTGAACTCCAACATGATGGTTAAGTCTATTATACCGCTAGTAGGTCACCCCAAAACCGATCTTTTTGGATCTTTTTGGTAGTCAGTCAAGTCTATTATATTCCATCAATCATAACGCTTTTTGGGTAAACTCATCAGGGTTTCGTGGAGTAAACTCTACCGGATTGGTTTTTCGGATTTCGTCATCCGAACTCGGGGGCAACGCGTTCTGCGCGTCACTTCCTTAGACCCTCTCGGACCCTCTCGCTACTCTTGGCTTCGTTTGAATCCGGTGCTGACACTCTTGGCTCCGTTGGTGTCCCACCAGTAGTGAGTAGTGAAAGCGTGTGCAACGCCTTTTCAAGCAACTTTGCTCACTCTGATCACGAATTTTGTCGAATTTGGGGCGGCTTCAAGGCGATGCCATGTCAGTCTGGAAATGCCCACAGAAAATTTTGAAAGGGATTCTCCTCACCGGACATGACCAACAAGGATCCGCATGACAAGCTTCTGGCACTTCATCGTGCGTTTCGGTCTATCCCCGCAGAAAGCAAGCCTTGATGTTCTCTTTGGACTGATCCAAGGACAGGCTGTGATCAGCATCTTCTAATGCCTCGTGGAACATCTCCTCGCAACGGGGGGCTGCCTCTGAGTTGGAAAGATCGCTTGGAACCAATCTCTGTACTGGTCATCCCTTCAGATGCTTGCAAAACGGATGAATGAATCAATGTCAGACACAAGTGAGTGGCCTGAAAGACCGAAATAAAGGTTGACAGCACGCACGCACACACGCAGAGTGTGTGTGTGTGTGTGTATGCGTGTGTACATATATACATATACATATACACATCATATGCCAAGACTCCCACAACCTTAAGATAGTTGAAAGATGTTGAAACCTCCTCCGATACAATCTTACCTGGCTTGGTGCCCGGCCTGCTTCAGGTAGGCCATCGCCCGGTTGTTCCACAGCACCGTGTTTTGCGGCTGAAGTTCCAAGGCCTGCACAAAAAGGTTGGGTCAGCAAGCTGTCCCACCAAGCTGTTCCCTAAAACAAGTTTGAACAAACCTTGAACAAAGCCCCGTTAAAGGAAAATGAAGAAACAAACATTGAAGTCACAACGTGTCATATGGCAAGATATTGGTGGGTTCCCAGTGCCAGTGTTTGGCAGGGCCACTTGAATTATTTCACAGTGACCAGTTTAAAAGCGTCGTGTCTACCGCTTGAGCGCTTCATCACGACTTGCTTTCGAGCTTCCCAATCCATGCTGGATGCCAGTAAATGACGGTTGACTCTTCTTGCCTCGCTGTACATCATTGAAGCCTTGACCAGAGCAACATCCCAGCACAGGAAATCAAGAGTGGATAACGTGCATACAATATCCTCTGAGGTCAGAACTTGGGAATAGAGGCCCAGCTGGAAAAATTGATTGCCTGGCAGGAAGGCTGAAGCAAGTAAAGAAGAGCCGCTGCTTCGATATGAAATGGTAAGTATGTCCGAAAATGGACAAAGACAACTTTCGTGAGAAACAAAAAAAGCGAAAAAGGGATCCTGACCAAAGCGGCATCCTCACCTTGTGACTTCATTTCATCTGCTTTTGACTGCTGGCCCTGAGCAAGAAAATTCAGCTTGGCTGGGGTTGTGACAGAACTGAATAGACTATGAGGGAGGTCAACTGGAAATGGGCTCCGAGTTTTGACCATGTCACCACTACATGCGCCTCCTCTTTGGCCCGCATGCCATCCAGCGTCCGCCGAAACTGTAAAAACTCCTCCCACGAGACAAACATCCGTTCAATGGATTCATCAAGCCACATTCAATTTAAATGTCATGTCGCATGTCCCCATGGGTCACAAAGGCAAGTTATCTTAGAAAACAGATATGGCAATCATAATCAAGACTGAATACAAAAGGGATCGAGTAAGGGATTGCATGTCTTGAAGGTTGCAACCTGTAGCACAGGGAGCAGCTGTCCTGCTTGCGTTCCACATCCTGACAGAGAGACTGGCGTGAGTTTTGCCACAGACATTGTGACAGCTCTTTGCATCGTTTCAATTTGGAGACACGTCAAGTCGGAAGAGTGTAAAAGAGAAACTGCGTCAGCCCTAAATGCATTGGTCCTTTTGCCAGAATATGTCTCGATTTGGTACTAGTGAGTGGGTCGCTCAATGGCACACCCAAACAAGTTCAGCATGAACGAATCTTGTATAACTGTCCTGCCGGCCATGCCACCCTATCTTTACCAACACAGCGCAGGCCAACAGCTGTCCACTGTACACTCACTATCAGATCCGCTATCACACATCTTCTCATCCCAACTGCGAATGGTGCGTGCCTCTTCCCCCTCTTCATCTCGGGCCATGGTGAGGCCTACCGGCAAGAAATGCTCCGAGACTAGACGCAACTTCGTCAGGAAAATCCTGCCAACAAAGAGAATCGCTGAGCACCTGGATCCTGAATTTGACTGGTTTGTTGCATCTGCAAATGCAAAAACATTCAAGGGCGATGTCAAGGAAGACATAACATACAAAGGTTGAAAGAATGAGAACGAGAGAAAGACCAGGCACAGGCTGCCCAGGGCCTGAAAACGTCGACTGTCGGCTCCGGCAGCGTTTGAGCACTGTGGGCTGGACGTCAGCGCTGGGCGCCAGCGAAACACTTCAGCCAGGTGCTCTGTTCATCAGAATGGAGCGCCGCAGTGCCTATGATTCGTATCTGCACCACTGGCAAATCATGCAATTCGTTGATTGCACTAAAAAGGAGTTCGTCAAGTTTGGTGGGAAGTGGAAGGAGCTCTCCGAGACATCCTTTTTAAGCAGGACACCTCCTTGGAAGGAGATCTCTGCCCGACGTGAAACCAGCTGCATCTTGCAGCGTTGGAATTCTCCCTTGTTGCCGGTGACACAGTTCGTTAACGCCTCAGCTGTCCCTCAGAATTCAATAATCTGAGCTCTAGAGGACAACGAGTACACCTGGATGATCATCTGATGAGATTAGGTTCCCTTCCAACCATGTACCTATGTGATCATCATCCAAGCAGTGGCCAGACTTTCTTTTGAACAGGCAAAGCTTCTCGTGGCTCTGCACCAAACCACACACAGCTCCATCTAAAAAGCCACCGGACCTATTCAGCAGACTTGGCCATACTTTGCAACAATTCAAGGCAGGTACAAGAGAGGATTCTCAACCAAGCCAGGTGCGACTTTTGGACTTCGTTTGGCCGGAGCTGCGTCTGGAGAGCATCTCAAGCAGCGCCGCCACAGGCACGGTACCTTCGACCTGTGTCGTGGCCTGGCAATGAATCTTGGATGAAGTTCTAAGGTCAACAGCTGAAACGACACTTGTCGTTTAATGTCCGATGTTGGTCTTGCTCCTTTGTCCGAGACAGGTACCTACTGTGCATCTGGGGCCACATCGAGTGTTTATGAGTGTTTCATGACATGTGCACTGGTGACACTTGTGCTTTCAAAAGGCTGTATGCCGTATGCGTGACAGCACGGGTGGGGCAGGAAATCCCAATCTTGGCGGGGACTTCCTGCGCTCTTACCTGGGAAACCAGTGTGCCAAACGGCAGACCCCCAACACATTCGAGATTTCAACTTTGGATGCCTAAGGCCTCAAGTTGCTTTCTGGCTTCTATCACGTCTGCGTCCTTGGACACGTCCTGCAGCTTAGCCACATGGCAGTCTAATCCTTGACACCGCCCTTCATGTTCTCCTGCGATCGGGAACATTCCCCAACAAATTCCATCCACCTCGACGCTTCAAAAAATCACACAAAAGAAAAAAACGAACGAAACGACGTGCCTACGTAGGTCATGTTGCTCTGCTCAAGTGCTGAGTAAATATATATATATATATGTACATATATATATAGATAGATTTATCTACAGTATGCGATGGTCCCTTGGAAATGCTGATAACTTTTGCACAGAACTCTTCTTTCATGGCCAACATGCCTACTCTTCCCTCTAGAGAACCCACACCTGGATCTATTTTCGCATCATTTCCCAAGAGTGAGTGTTGAGATTCATTGAGTGCACAAAAGTTTGGTGGCGGCCACAAAGGACACGTAGACGTCACGTGAGAACCTCACGTTGCAAAAAATGTCCTTTTCCAGGTCTCCTTGATGAAGTTCTTCCGGCGACTTTGCGACGCTTTGGCCAGCTGCATTTCCATTTCCTTCGTTAGCCTCACACGTTCGAGATCCGATTTGGAGGCACTTCCGCAGGAAACAGCGCGCCGGTGGGAAATGTGGATACAGTAAATGTGGTAGATTTGTGGGGTTCCAATGGGTTCCATGCAGCCAGAGGATCCATAGGTCACAACTGCCACAAAACAATTTACCAGTCGTCAGTTCTGGTGCTTGGTTCTGGAGCACTCTATTCGCTCGTTCTGGGGGTCTCAGGGGGTGAAACAAAGTCGTTTGTCAATGCCGACCGGTCGGCAGCACACGGGCGTCTCAGCTCCTGCGGCCCCCGGGTTGCCTTGTAGCCACCTTAGGCTTCTCGACCACAGGCGCAGTGTACTTTGGATGAGTACCCTTCACCAGGTATGACCAGAAGACATCCTTGGTGGCTCAGCGCAGCGTCATGGCACATGACGGGAGATCGCGGAACTTTCTTCTGCTCAAGAAGAAGAAATGTCAGGCCAAATGTGTTTTCACCTGTTCTCCAATCGGCAAGCATTGGATACTCGCGCGATGCTAGACTGGATCGAAACAGTTCATGCAGGCGGGCGCCAAAGAAATCTTGCAGCAACCTCACTCTTGATCTGAGTTGCTTCTGTCTGAATGATGAGCTTGCCCTGAACAGGCTTGCCGTACTCCGTGGGTTTGTAGGTAACAACCTGAATCATCAACTTGGGTATGAGGCTGAGACTGTTTCCTTCACGCAAAAATGTGCATCATTGATCCTTTTCACTTAAGGGTCCAGTTCTGCAATTACTTTAATCCCTTCCGCTTCTTCGCGTAGCGAAACTCACCCCATCAACGGTACCACCATTCGCCGAGCAACGAAAGTGGTACCGTTCGTCCCTGCGGGTTCTAAGACTCCTGCAGGTTCGTCACACGAAGCACACACAAAGCCAAGGGCCAAGGTACACAAAGCACACAAGGAGTCACAAATAGTCAGATTCCCTGAAAATAGCAACTCAAAAATGTGTTTCGGACTGCCTAAGACCAGCTGCTGTCCTGTTCTTTTTCTGCAAAATGTTCTGCAAAACATGTCCAGTGATCTTTGACTGGGTAATTCAGTGATTCAATCACTCAAAGGCAATGGACAGTCGGACAAGAAAGTTAATCCAAGAAATGCATGCATGCTTGGAACGGAGACTCAGCTCGATGGAGGCATCATCAAGGCTGAGGATGTTGATCTTCTTCAAAGCAGCCGTGCTCATGCAACTCTCAGGTGGTTGCCTTTGCAGCGGCAAACCCGAGACAACCACGTGGTTCGTGGTGTTCTTGTTGACTTGATTCTGTGTCGACTGCTCCTCAACATTTGCGCGCGGGTTGGCTGTCTGGTATCTCAGGTGGCAGTGATACCATACCTATTCAGATTCACTCTCGGACTTAAACTCTGCTCGAAAACGCAAGACATCCTTCCCTGCGAGCCAGCCAGTGACTAGAACCACCTCTGCTTCACCCGCTTTTTTCTGCACGAGCCAACAGCTCAATCTCAGCGCCCACAGGTACGGCACTCATCTCCACTTCAATACTGCAAAAGGCCAGATTCATTCCTGCATTCTGAACTGCCAGCCGCAGCGCTTTGCTTAGCACAGGCCCCAAGTCGCCACAAGCGTTTGCATCCAGGGGCGTTTTCGCCGCTGGCGTTTTCCTTCCATAAAGGCCTGCAAGTTCATCTGCGGTCCCATCCTCAGAATCCAAAGTCAAGGATAGTGATGCAACCTTGGCTGGAGAGTCTTCGACGATATGCCAAGGATCCTTCCGGACAAACCTCACACTCATTGGATCTCATTGGGCACATCGACTTGCAACAACGATTTGCTGCAAATGGTTGCCAAGCTTTCATTAAGGCAGGGAGACCTATTATATACCTCGGACGTCGGACACACAAAAGAACTTAACAGGGAAAAGAAGCCGTCTCTAGTTATGACGATTCGATTTTAGGATGGAAGCCATAACTTGAAGTTCTCATGAGAACATGCTCGGTTTTCAGCCAGGCAAAAAGCAAAGAATTGAAGCGAGACCAGCCACAACGCCCTTTGCCGCGCTCTCCGCCGCCTCTGCCTTCACCACGCTGAGTCTTGGTCGTCGTTCCATGGCTTTGAAGCGTCGCACTGCGGCCTCCATCTCTTCAGGGGCCAGCGGTACCGGCGGCACGACGACCTGCACCGGCATCGAAGCAAAGAGACGGCCGGAAGTCGCCGGAAGCCCACATGTTGTACTGGGTACGCGCTGTATTGTTGGAATGAATGCATGATAAGATGTGCAAATATTCTTTAAACCCAAAGGCATGCCATCCCCATATTATGATCCCAAATCATAAAAAAATACAGTTAGCTATATAAACGGTCACCAGTTTGCCTGCATCAGAAAAAGGCATCTACATGTTGCAAGATTTGTACCAATCTCATCCAGGCAACTTGTGAGAACTTAGGCTCTGGATTGGTCGCAGTACACCATGCCGATCCGCTTAGAAGTAGATGCTGCGCATCGCCCGACAGCTGAATCTCCAGAAAGCGCCGTGCTTGAGACGCCTTGAGTCTGGCACTCACCCGAGTGTCTTGAGTGCCTTGAGAGCTCTCTCTCGGTTTTAGCCTCAGCGTCAGCCTCCAGAGAGATGCGAACACAGGCCGCCGCAAGAAAGGGCTTCCTCTCAAAGCCTGGGCTTTGACAGCTACATACCACAAAAAGTGCTACATACCAGCTGACCAGCTAAACCTTCAAACATCACGAAGAACCAGCTGGGGACCGCTGAGGGCATACTTTCGCCTCCGGCTTCCAGCAGATACTGCACTTGAGATCACTGTAGGCAGCATGAAAAAGGCAAGAAGCGTATGGTCGGACACTGTTTGACCAATAGGTTGAAAGGTCAGTTGCTGCAGCTGCTGCCACCTCTAGTGCTGCTTCACCTTCACATTGCTTGCCTCAGGTCCAGTGCAAGCGAAAAAGTTTGCAGCCATACCGTGGACCTTGCTACAATTTGATTTGAAGAAAGGTGTCGGCAGCTGTCAACAGTCAACAAGATCGATATAGTAATAGTAATTTATGGGACATCTCAAAAGTTTGAGAGAGGTTGGAAAAAACATCGAGGACACATTGATGCAGCAGAGTCTTGCCAGGAAACTTTGCTCAGGTTCAGTTGAGGCACCCTCTTCCGGCACTTCCCGACTTCGGATAACACTAGTTTTCCGCGCTCCCGCCGTGGGCCCTCCGTCATCACAGCGGGAGTTGTTTCCGCTTCGCTTGCGTGCCAAGGGCATCGGCAATGCTGTGAACAGCAGGGTCCCAGGTGCTCTTCGGACGCAGCTCATGGCAATTGGAGTGACACACCTTTGAATGAACTTGAGTCCACAAGGCCTCTTCAGAAATGTGCACAAACCTAGTGATATCCCGCAACTGCTTACTACCTACAGGTCGGACTTCGCCAGAGAATTCCTCCTCCAAATTAATCAAAGCTAGCAGCTAGCAAAACCGAACCATCTGAATACCAAAGATTGACAAGGTATAACTTGGACTTGGAGGGGGTCAGCAAGTAGATGCTACTTCTCAAAGTATGTTCTGTTCGCCTGAGCCATAAGCATGTTCTGCCAATGCTTGAATGGTGTTCGAAACTAGTAGGAAACTCTTGTGACACACGGCGTTTGAAACTTGGTTGCTCCAACTTTCATCTGTCCTGAAGTTGGTTGCACAGTGAATTCATACGCTGACTCTGCATCGAAGAAGGCTTCGAACTCGGAGTAAACGCTGGTGTGGTTGTTCAATCTGAAGGCCACCTAGTGGAAGCGGTCGCTCTTGCTTTGAGGAAAAGAACACGAAGAAAACCTTTGGCACAACTTCATGACTACCACATGGTTGTCTTTGCAGTGTGCTGTAGTCCTTGGCCAACCACTGCTCTGCACTAACTAAGAGGTAAATGATGATAAAAGCGTTGAGATCATTTGAGATGAAGTTACAGCAAGAAGATCAACCACATCCCCAAAAATACTATCACTTACTCGGCTTCAGCTGCTTCAGCCAAGACTCGCTTGCTGGCTTGTTGAGGGGCGACTGGATGGAAATCACATCGTCCACCTGCAGTGGCAGGTCACCTCTGTCTTTCTGGAATGACGTATCTAAATACATATACACGTGGTTATATTATATATACACACGTACAGTTTTTTTGTATATACAGCTGGTTTTCCAATAGGCCTCTCTTGCCTTCTAATGCCCACAAAACTCGTTTGCGGTCATTTGCACTCGTTTGTGCCCCTGTCGTGGCTTTCGTGTCCATCCTTACGAGCAAAAGCTGTCATCCGCACCTCAGGCTCAGTCGCCTCTAGCTTCAGATCAAAGCGCCAGCGACCACCCGAGGCACGGGTGATCACCAAGTTGCCTTGATCTCAATCAAATGTGCCGGGTTTAAAGCATTAAACAAAAAACAACGTTGTTAAATGAAATATATATATATATAAACATCATTATACATTTCCAACATTCTCCAACATGAAGAAGAAGAACACAGCGCCTGACAGCTGGCACAATCCGAGTGAAAGTGGTGGTTAGATTTTAGTGTTGCCTGCTAAAAACCGATTAAAACTAAATCTGTGGTGCTCTGAAAGCAAAGACGATTTTTGGGCACAGTTCTACAGCGGAGTTGGTCTAAGAAAGCACACAAAAAAATGAAACCTCGGATTGTGTCCACACTTAGCAAGCGCTTTTGTGGGACGTTCTTGTGGAGCACTTTTGCACAGTCGCGTCAAGCCTCCAAAGCAAGTCACACGGAAAGTCTCCAAAACGAGCCTTTCTGATGAGACTTCCGAATTAAGTCTCCAAAACAAGCGTTTCTTTTCGGATCTCTCCCAAAAGTCGTGCGTCAAGTCTTCAAAACGCGCCTTTCTATAATGAGACTTACCCCAAAACACGCCACGCGGGAAACCAAAACAATAACATTGTAAGAGACTTCCGCGACAAGTCAAACTGACAACTCTTCAAAACAGGCATGTCGTGCAAGACTTCCTCCAAACGTGAATCGCGAAGTCCCAGCGAACACGTCACGCAGCGCTGCCGCTTCACAATCCAACCCCCTGCACAGAGCGTCCGCTGACTGTGCCACACCTTGACATGGAATGTTGTCGACATTTACTTTGCGCTACAACACCCGCGTCACCCAAATCACAATTTAGTTGAGACCCACAAGCCCTTCAAAGCAAATTCCAATGGCACAGCCACATTCAACACCTCTGGCAAGGCGACACAGTGTCGAGTCGACGCTGCACCTGCGCAGCAACATCATACGTCACAATTGGGAAATCACATTCTGCGCTATGTCACACGAATCTGACACATCGTCTGTAGCTTCCCCGCACATGGGTGAGTATGATAGACGGTTGACGACACTTACAAACAGTTGCGGACACAGCTCCACCCCTGCACCCAGAGCCAGCTTCAAGAGAATGGTCGCTGCGCATTCAGCGTTGCGAAACGATGTGCGAAACAACGTGAAGTGCTAAGACGATCATGCCTATGCAGTGCAGTAATGTGCAGTATGTAACTATGCCAAACAAAGGCGCTTTTTCACTACTGTCCATTGATTAAAACGCAGGCAGTACAAGTGGAGGCGATAGGGGTCTTGTAACCCCTGAGTCATGAGTGCCTGTTTCTTTCATGCGCTGCTCTCTGAACAACATCTTTAAGCAAAGCCCAGCCACAAAGTGCGATGAAGGGCCGCAGTGGCGAAAAGTTCACCTGCCCGGAACTAGCAGCTGTGTGTTTGTCAGCAGCCCGGGATGAAGTAAAGTCACCACCTCCCTGGTCATGATTCAAAGAGCTGCAACCCAAGTACAGCCAAAAATATGACTAGCATTGATTAGCGACATGTTGTCATGAATTGTGAATCAATGTACAAGTCTCCAACAGTCCCCTGCGCTTTCGCTTTCGGGCTTCCGCTTCGATACGCGCCCGAAGCGCCCGAAGTCCGCACCTTGAGGAAGACCTGTCCATCGGATTTGCCACGAGTTCTTGATGCCTGGCACTGGAGCAGGCCAGACAGAAGGACAGGCGTTATAGATAGACGTTATAGAATGTGGACACGCTTTTCAGCAATTTTGGACACCCCTTTCAGACAAACAATACTTCGAAAGGGTGCTGTTGGTCTACTCGTTCGCAACAAGAACTCCAACAAACGTCTACGTCTACCATCTGGGGCCATAATATGGCCAAAGAAGAGCCACTCCAACATGTTTCAAAGATCACCTTCTTCTACACTGAAGTGGGTCATTGCTGTATGATATGTCGTGTGGAAAGCTCGATGTTGCACCTGACTTGAAGCTCTGGCAGCAGTTGCATCACTATCCAGGCTGATGTCAAAGCACTTGGACACCTCTGGCCATCGCGAGCGGTGCGAATCCCTGCAAGGCTGTCCAACGCCTGTCTGGAGCTCCGATACGGAGGAAACATACAAAAAGGTGACTTGTCAGCCCCTTGATATTTTCTGTTCCTCCCAAAAACAATGCCACTCTGCTTAAAAGAAGGGGACCGAAACACCAACGGGGGTTGCCTCTTTCGTTCGGGGACCCAACATGACCCCAACCATCGTCTTTTTATCCTCACCAGGTCTCTAGGTGTTTCACCGATTTGGAAAGGGGAAAACGGTCCCGACGGTGCGATCGCGACGTGCCCCCTTGTTAAATCCTACGCGATTCCGTTGTAAAGTTTTAAAGCATGTAGGAAGCTATATTGTATACATGCATTCATATTAGATATAATATATATATACTGTATATAGTGTTTTTATGTTTCTTTTTAAGTTAGATATATACACTAGCCCAGCAGGTGCAGTCCATTTCGTCCCTGATAACATACAGACCTCTTTTCGAACTTTCCACATCAAGCTACCATTGCTTGGTGTTGAGGCGGCACTTCCAGTTGACACGAAAGCTGATCTCCATGCCTCATCAAGAATTGCAAATAACACAGTTGGAGCATCTGACTCATGTCACTGTCTACAGAGTCTACTCTATATTACTCTATATCTAAAATCCATCTGCAAAACGAGCTTAGACAATTGCGTGGGTCGAAACTCCGGTGTCTGTCACTCAAAAGAAGGGTAACCCGAGGGTAACCCAAACTGGAGCGACTTGACGGAACGTCCTGACTCGGAGTCAAAGTAAATGCAAGTGTTCCTATATTTTGGTCTTTGTGTGTGAGGACATACTTCGTGAGTCCAAGAGACGACGACATAGTTACTTGTTTGGCAGCCAATGTCTGGAAGTGCCACTTCTCGTAGACACGATGCTGCTTGGCTGTGCTGAGGTTCCCGGCGTGTCACCAGGGGTGGTGTCAAGACCAATCAATGTCAGTGCATAGGTGGTCTGCAAGGCTTCTCGCGCTTGAACCTTGGAGGTGTGGCCCATTCTGCAGGGTTAGTGTGGATCAGTTACCTTCAGAGTTTGGATTACACGATCAAAAAAGTAACAAAATTGCTGGCTAGCCCCTGCAAAACCAAGCCCTTTGTGTCGGATGGATTGAAAGCCACTGCATGGTCAACGGTCCCAGGTCCGTTTACCGCTTAAACCGGTACAAAAAAAAGGACCGAATTCCGGTGCCAAGGGCGCCATGAAGGTGTGCAGCGTGGGATCCGCCGGTGCTTCCGCCACGCCCTGGATGCGATAAGACCAGCTGAGGTTGGGCTTCATGACCTGGCTGAGGTTGGGCTGAAGAGGGCGATGGCGATGGCGGTTCTGCCGGCCAGTTGTTTTCGGATGCTTTGGCGTTTGGCTTTGGCCTGGTTTGGTCAACAAGATTTGTCGCAGAAGATGAATGTGAGTGTTTGAGCTTTATGAATGCTGAATGATAGAATGAGTGACATGGTGTGAGGGTAATGAATTCTATTGAATTCTCATGAAAAGGGACCGACTGAGTGCAAGAGCAGCAAGGCATTCTCTGCTGACACAAGAAAGGCAATATCCAAAAACATATGTTCAAAAAGATGTCAGGAGTATCACTGGACATCATGCCCCCCCAAAGTGCTTTGCTTCCAGAGGAATCGGTCTTTTGAGTCTTTTCGCAGTGAAGATCCGTCCGAAGTGAACTCATCGGCTCCCTTTATTAATCCCAAGCAGCGGAGAGCGCGATCTCTGCGGTGTGCTGCGTCATGGTGGGTGGGCAGAAACTGAAAGGGATCTGCGTCGTGGCCAGGGGCCCAATTTGCACCTCAAAGGCTCATCGGCAGAAAAAAGCGGCGACCGCGAACGTGAATGTTTTCCTCGAGCGTGAACAAATTCAGACCAATGAGCTACTAGTAACAAGTGCCACGCTAGTAGTAACAAGAAGCTATTAGAAACAAGTGCATCGCTAGTAGTAACAGGTGCTCAAATGACCGAATCTTCGTGGACTTTAGGCTGAGCGCATGACCTTGGCCTTTTTGCTCAGCAGGTTGAAAACGCCTTTCTCGCTCTTCGACTCCAAGACAATGAAGATGGTAATGGTTTCCAAGAAGGGGTTCCTTAGTCAAAATGCTGCCAACAGTGCCGTGCATGGTACGGACATGCCAGCATCCAAATGCGAACTTACATGGCCCCATTCTAGGAGAAGACATGGGGTTCACATGGGTTCACCAAGCAAAATGTCACAAAGCGGCCTCAGTCGTGGTGCATCTTTGATTTAAACAAAATGCGATAACTGAATGAAATGGATCGTTTCTTGGCTCAGTTCGGTCCAAGCCACTTGAATTGGATCGTCGAAGAGACCGTCCGGTTCACCTGTGCAGCCACCGTCACGTGCCGAGCCTCCAAGGGCGGCAGGCCAAGGCCCTGCGCCTTCGGAGAGAGCACGGAACAAGAAGCTGCTAGTAGCTCCTGGCCTTACTAGGAGCAAAGGACGCTACTAGGAGCAAGGGGCATCGCTACTAGGAGCAAAGGACGCTACTAGTAGCTCCTGGCATCGCTACTAGGAACCCGGGCATTGCTACTAGGAGCAAGGACGCTACTAACGATGAACTCCTGGAATCCACCATGGAACCGTCCACAAGGGATCATCTACCTACTATATAATTGTGGGTCCAAGTCCAAGAGTCCCCTAAAATCATGGCTGGAGGTATAGCCAAAGGTATTTACACACCTGGATAATTACATGTCTAGAGCATGTTTCTGTTCTTTAACACTTGGTTCATCCCGTGCGGAGCTCCCTCACCGCTGCGACCGCATGGCGCCGCGTAGCGACCGCATAGCACCACGTAGCGACCGCTCGGCGGTCAGCAATGAGCGATCGCCTTGTAGACCCACTGTCCCACCAGTGGGTGTTCGAAGACAATCTGCGCTTCTTCCGTCACACCTTGACACATGGTTGGCCCGGCCCAGGTCTGGTCGCTTGCACAAAGCAAATGACGTTCGACTGGGCGAAAATTCCCAAGGTTGTTTGGAAGCGTGCACTGCAGTTTGCCTGGTCTGTAGAATGCGCTTCTCCACGCCATGTCGTACAAGTACCCTTTGTAGCGATGAAAAGAGACACATTGACATTGTAGTTGGTTTCTCACAAGCTTGCCATCATACAATGTTGAGCAGAGGTAGCTCAGCACAAAGTGGGAAGGCAATACCAAGAGTGTTCAAAAGACAAGAACAAGAACCGTGAAAACCAGAAGCTGTGGTTGCATGCGCTTCCAACTTCCCTGCCGGTCTAGTTACACCAAATGTAAATAAAAGAACCTTGCCAGTGCTGGCCAAGACACCCAGCGAGGACGGGCTGTACTCTATGGTAATGTCCGTGGATTCCAACGGTGGAAGCACTACCCGATTGTTCAAGACCTGCAGCGTTTCAAGCAACGCATTCCAAGGCTTCATGGATTTGGAAAAAGGGTATCTTATGGTATCTTGGTTTCGACAGTGCTTCTTGAAATGACGCCAAACACATCCAAACCTTGCCAAAACCTTGGAACCACATTGTCATTCTTACACCACCTGGAACCAGGTCGACGTGGCACAGACCGGTCTGGGGCGGTCGGTCGGTGCCTTGAAGTTGATCTTGTTGGTCGATCGATGCTTGAGGACCTTAGAGAGATGTCGTTCACGTCGTGAAAACGGCTCCTTTTTGAAGACCAAAGACGGCTTTTCGAAGCCCTTGGACGCAGCGTTTGACGGCTCCAAGAGTTTGGCATATCGTGAACATGTAACTGAACATCGTGAAGAAGATGTGGCCCTATGGCACCGAAGCAATGATTGGTGCATAAAGGCCGAAGCAGTCTGTAGTTAGTCTGAAAAGTTTGGCCCTCATCTTTATTAAAGCAAGAACTGCGCCTGGTGGTTTAAAAATTTAATATATATATATATATGGTCAGTGGGTGAAAAAAATATATAACAGTAGGTCAGTGGGTGAAAAATCATCCCAATGCAAAGGTTTGAACATAACCATAATCTCAAACCACCAGCCGGAGAAAACTGTCCAAAGGCTCTTCCTGCGCAGTGATCTCGTCTGGACTGGGCATGCTACCACTTCTTGCCCAGTCGGATTGTCGATGTGGACCACGGTCTGCGCAGTCCTGGTGTGCCGAGATCGAAGCAAAATACGAACCTCTGCGGACCAGGGCCATTCATATCGAACAATGATGTACCAGTGACATCCCACCTGGGCCCGGCCCCATGCTGTTCCAGACCGTCAAAGTGAGGCTGCTCCATCCACCCCTCTGCAACTAGTCCGCGATCCGCGCCTGCCAAGTTCACACTCTAAGGGTGCGATTTCCTCTGCAGGCGCAGCTTCCGCAAGCAGGCTAAGATCATACCAAAACTCACCTGGCGGTGCAAGGGAAACCTCACTTTGGGCATACCATGGATTCGCTGTCCATGCTTCCAGGCGGTTCCGCCACATTCAATCAAATTCAATCTTCTCGAAACTAAAGTATCTAAGTATCTATATATCAAGTGACCCTGCCGATGAGTTTAAAGTTTAAAGGACTGCCTGAGTGAGAAGACCCCAAAACTCGCACCATTGCATCCTTTCTCAGTGGTGAAACCTCTGGCCTACGATCTCATTGAAGAATACGGCTGTGCCCTTGCTTCTGGCTGGCAATAGAGGGCTGAAGACCTAAGGCAAACAATGGCGTAGCGGAATCTCAGGTGTGATGCGTACAGCAGTGGTCTTCAGCGCGTGACTCATGAACTTCTTTCCATCGCTTTCTTCACTCAACTTTCTCCACTGGTTGAGCTCTCAACTCTGAGGTCCTTGCAAGTTCATATGTGGCCGTCTCCTTTGGGGCCAGTACAAACTCGGCCTGTCGAGCCGCTCGCTCTTGGACTCTCCACTTCTGGATCCAAAGGTCTTTCATCGAGAGTGAGTGACTTGTCCTTTGAGGGGTCCCAACGAACGTGAAGCAGACATGCTAAATTGCTAAATCACTGAGTCATGTTTCTTCCAAGCACGATTTAGTTGCAGTATGTTGCAGTTGTAACGGAGGCACCTCTCATGTCATCAAGCTGCACCACTGATGTTGTGCATCTGATGCCAACATGGTCAAACCATTTCGAAGCTCATTGCAATCCAGCCAGTTTTAGGTTGTGCTTTTGAGATTCAGCGTCCTCACCCTTCAATTATGGGGCGCCTCACCCAGCAAGCCATCACCAGTCAAGGCAACCTCGAAAACCACGACATCGTCCAGTGGGTTTACCAGTTGGATGTCCACCGCCACAGCCTGGGAGAAAGACATGGCAGTGCATGGGATGGGTGAAAAACGTGATGGGACTGTATACTCTTCAAAACGAGTTCTGTACTCTCTCTCTCTCTCTCTCTTGACTCAACTGTGTAGCAAGGAGATACCTTCACAAGTCCCCTTTGTTTCATTCTACATTGAGACTTCATGCTTCTATCTCCTTTCGCGCCTGTCGCACCACGCAGGTCAACGTCAAATGCTGCTGTGGCTTGGGTGGCAATGTCATCAGCTCCACCTGAGAGAAGCGACGTAATAAACAAAGGTTGAAGGGCCGGACCCTGGGATTATCCCATAGATAACTTAGTGGGGTCCTGGTTCAGGTCACTGGCTACCTCTCTTGGACCGGAGGAGCCAAGCAGACATCACCATGAATCACCATCGCTGGTCAAGCTTTTCTCGAGGGCAGTGCCATTGTCAAACAGTAAAAATGACATCGCAAAGCTCACGTTGGCCACAGGCTTGCAGACAAAGTACAGTGTACCAGGTAAAGTGTCCGGTGTGAGTGTCGCGGAAAATGATGCAGCCTGGCAACATAGGCATTCGTGGTGCTGGCGATTTGAAGTGCTCTCTAGAACATGGCCAGTCAAACAGCAGTTGTCATCCTTTTTCGCTACCTCCAAGGACGCTACTAGGGGCTCCTGGCCTTACTACTAGGAGCAAGGACGCTACTAGGGGCTCCTAAAGCACCGTGCGCAGACCTGCCAAATGGCACTGCCCACCTGTGACCTGACCCGCTTGCAGCGGCTGGAAGGTCAACTCGTAGTCACCAGTGCCTCGACCATCCACCTGCGACCGCTGGCCCGGGCTCGCGGAAACGGCGGCCGCTGGGCCGCAACTGGGCCGCTGGTGCGAGACAAAATGAACAGCCAGGAGTCAGGTGAGTCGGGTGAGGAAAGGTGGTGGTCTCCATCGGAGGTCGGTGCATGTTCTTTTAAAGAAAATGAAACAAGAACATGTGCGGATGTCCGTTGCCTGTTGCTGTTGCTGTTTAAACAGTGAATTGAAGACCAAACGTTGAAACAATAAGAATGGGAAGGGCCTGTAAACAAGAAACTGGAAACTGGAGGGATGTGAAAAGTCAAAAAATGGACACGAAGAAGAAGTTGCCAAAAGGTATCAAAAAATAGTATATACCTTGCTTTCGGAAGTCTAGACACGCTGATATGCCTTCCTTGGCCTAGCGGCAAGTGGCAAAACAGAGTTGCTTCTCCATCTCACTTGGCATCATGTTCGAACATGTCAAGCAACCCCGTAGAGAGAACGCTGCGGCTAAGCTCAAAAACGCCAACCCCCATCAAAAACACCAACATAAACAACCACTTGCACCTGAATGGAAGAGGGTCCAGAGATGTGCACCAAATCGCTCTCGACCTGCGCTCGAGGGTCGACGGTCCCGGGACAGCACGCACGTGTCCGCGAGCTGGGCCAAGCCCAGCACGATGCGAACCCAAACACGATACCACGAATGCGCGCTCAAGGGCCACGAATGTGTGCAGCACTGAGCTCGGGAGCCTTGAAGAAGAATCCACTGCATATTGACCAAGGGAATCCGTCGCAAACTCTGCTGCTGATTCAATACATCACAAGCAGATCCATGAGAAGAGCAGGAGTTGAGATGTCATAAGTTCCTGAATTCTGAAGCCAAATCAATCATGCGAGAGCTTCAAGGAAGGCGCCCCCCCCCGACCAAGCTCGCGGGGCCAGCTTCCTTGACAGCTCTGCGTCCCTGTCTAGTAATGTAGCTTCCTTGCTCCTTCAAGCTACAAAACATTCTAGATTTTATTAGATTTCCTGTCACCAAAGCGGTTTCTATCACCAATTACAGTACCGGCGAAGCACCGATTCTCAAACGGTCGCAGGATGCTCGCCTCAAAGGCCGCCGTGAGGTTGGAGTGATTCTTCACCTCGCAGGGCCCAATATGATTCTTTGATATGACTCGTATGATATATGGTTTGTTTGTGTATCAATTTGTGTTTTTTTTGACCCAATACGGTCACAGACCAATATTTTGCTGCATGTGCTCAATATCTTCACAACCCAAAGACCCCGTGGAAGGTCATCACTGTCATCACTCTTATGCGTTCTGGTCGACGCTATATAGATAGATTTGCTTCAGAGTTGCTGGTTTCACTGGAAAATGTATTTCATATCACTCTACTCAATCGTGCAGCGCCTGGAACACATGGGAGGTCTTCTCACGCGCTTCACACCTTGGTCGAACTCATCCGGAAAGTACTCATGCAGCATGCATTCTGCCGAACCTACGTAATCCGAAGGCGTGACTGTGGGCATCAGCATGACAACTTAGGTCTTTTGGGTTTGCTAGTCTGCTCACCTGGGAATCATGTCAAAGGCAACTTGTCCAAGGAAGGTGAAGCGCAGCAGCCTAGACACATACTGTATCTGTCATATCTGTCCATAAATCACTTAGTCTTCCCACTTCACCACCACATGCTCTTCCGCCAGCGGTTCTTCCGCAACCCCATGCAGGTCATACCTCAACGAAAGGACGTCGGCCGTGTATGCGCAAAGGAGGAAAAGCGCGATCCAAATACAGTTTGTCCCATTCATCTATCGTTTGACTGACTCAGCTCTACTTTACTTAGCAGACTTAGGCGGGTAACAGCTTGTATATAGTCACGCGGTCTTGGCCCGCAACTCGTAAGTCTCGTTGGTGCCCACATTGTAAAGGACCAGCTGAGCCTGCGTGCGAGGCTGCGAGGCGGCCTCTTCCGCCTTCTGTTCGCACGTCTATATTAACAAAAGAACAGTGACAAGCGTCCTTGCTCCTAGTAGCATCCTTGCTCCTAGTAGTAAGGCCAGGAGCCCCTAGTAGCGTCCTTGCTCCTAGTAGCGATGCCCTTTGTAGCGTCCTCTCCTTTGCTATGTTATCCAGCTTTCTTCTACACTGAAAACACAGTGATTACTGGAATCAATCCTACAATCTTGAGCCATGTTAAGGATCCACAGGTAACATACTCCAAAATCTCCAAAGTCCTCTCCTCCATCTCATCCGAAACGTCGAAACGAAACGCGACATCGAAGACGGCCGACGGCCAACGTCACTGACTCCCCAGGCCTTGACGTCACAAACCCAATCTGGCTTAAAGGTCAGCGGATAGGTGGTGACAGTGGCCTGTCCCGTGGCCTCAACAAAACACATCAAAAACACGACAAGTTGTCAAGTTGTGTCCCGTGGTCGAGAAAAGTGGGCCAGAAAGCTTGGACATGAGACAGGACTGAAGAACCGATTTATCTTTAGAAATATACTGAAAAATAAAAGTTATAGATTCAATAACACATAGAAATAACTTATAGAAATATTTTGAACATTTTACTTAAACAAGGTCTTCAACTGAGGTCTCTGCTCCCTTCTTCTTGGCGATGAATTCTCGAGGTCCATCAAACTCATGACCGATCTGAGAGAAGGTGGGTTTGATCGCCTTGGCCGTCAGGTCTACAGCATGTTACACTCAAATGGATTTGATGCAAGGGAAATCTACAGAAATCCATGATGCTCACCCCAAAAAAAAACTACGGTTTTTCCTGTAGATGTTCCCAAAAACCAAATCTGGGAGACACCTGTCACCCTTCCTTTTCACACGGCCACTGCTCCGATGGCGCTCAAAAGGTTCGAGCATGCAGTGTCAGCAGAAAACATACTGCAACCGCTGGTCTCTCAGTCAAGTGGCCCATTCTCTGTCTGTGGGGTTGACGATGGGAATCTCCTGCTATCGCTGTGCATGGGCACAATCCAATGGTGTCCCAAGGTATCCACACTGTCCACAAGCCAAGTCGGTTGCATGACAGGCCTGGGGTCATTGTGCCAAATAACCTAACGAAGCGTTGCTTAACTTCGTTATGGCCAGGAGAAAGAAAACAAGATTGCACCGTTGTTAGCAGCTCCGCGCACCGCACACCAGTGCCACTGATCCTGTTGTGTTCGCTCATTTAGTTTGATCAGTACACATGGAGTGAACCAACTCAAATTATAGTATATGGGGGCTCTTGAGGCCCAATGTGATTTTTACCTAATTTGGTTCTCTTAAGTAGAGTAAGACCAAGAGGCTTCTGAGATCCCTTTGTTCCATTGTCTTTTCCATTTGCAAAAGCCCAAGGTGGTCTCACCCGCGGCTGCAGTCTTGCATCAAATGACGAAACCAACCGCACTCTGCAACAAACCAACAGTGGTTCACACAGTAGCATTTCTCAGCCCTCCCTCTCCTGTGTGATGGCCTTCCTCAGGCGAACAACTGGCTTTCAAAGTGGTTCGCAAAGTCTCACCCAGGCAGTTGTGGAAAAAATACCGCCACCACTCTTCTGCTGTCCAAACTCAGTATTCTGTCAAATCCGAGACAGCGGCCTGGCTTGTGTGGTAAACGTCAATGAGCAATGTGTGTTGGGAGCCGTGCCAGTACCTTGAGGCAGTTTTCGTGGCCGAAGGGGATCTCCTGTCTTGTGCAATTTTAGAGAGTTACTGTATGGCGATGGGTCAAAACCTGGACCTTCCAGGCAGGTCAACCTTCCCCCGCCCCCGAATTAGTTGCTTGATCTCGTTACATTCAAGTGCGCGGATATTCGGTCTCACGTAGCTTTTTGACGTTTTGTGAGCATTGTATAATGCATGTTTTGCAGATACTCTACCCAACTCCCCAGTACCCACCAAGAGGTGAAGGACTTGGGGAAGCACAGACATTGGAGCGCAAGTGACGTCGGCAGGTCAACAAAGAAATCCTGGTTTTGACTCACAGCCATATTGACAAGAGTACAATATCTGTTTTCGCCAGCGATGAAGTCCCAGCTTGCACAAGGACGAATCGAGATCTGTCCGATCAGATTTGTCATTCTACAGGGAAAAACCATGGTCGACCTGCTACTGCAATCGCACCTGCTACCTGCCTTGGTCTTGTCACGACTGTGACTACACCCACCCTTGTCACTATGCCAGCAAGGTTCACCAGGTTTTTAAAGAGGTCTCCCCTGAATAGCTATATACAAACAGCCTGAACCATGAACTGCATACATCCGTCGCTGGCACCTTCGAACTGATAGATGCGGATGTCAATGTCGGAAGTGAGTGTGACTGTGCAGGGGTAGACACCCGGCTCCTCAAAAGAGCCCAGATTCTCAAATTTGACTCGGGTTCAATTTCGATCGTTGAGTGCTGAAGAGTTTTGTTCCCAACTCTGCAACTGCTTGGGATCAGGGTTCTTGCTGAAGAGGCTCCATGAAAGCGGCAAAAGTTGAATAAAACTGGCAGGGTTTCCCGGGTGTCCAAGACTTATACAAGAGCAACAAAGGACACAAAGGCGTCAACCTTCCAGTGCATCTCCACAAAAGTTCCTGAAATAGCCACCACCGATACAGTATGCCGCAGCATACTGACGTACCTCACCTGACAATACAATACCTGACCTGAATGACCTGAATTAAGATTACGCTACATGCTTACAAAGAACGAAAAAAAAAAAAAACAGCGGCCGCAGTCCTTGGGCCAAAACTCCACCACCAACTTGGCCACCTGGAGGCCGCATCGTCAGGTGGAAGTTCAAAGGCATTCTGCTGAAATCGTGCACCCCTCATGGAGCCAATCTCAGCCCCCAAAAACATCAAACGGTAGGGACAATAAGGAAAAAAAAATTGTCTGTCTATGGCCTATTGCTCAAACCTACGATAGCTTCCGGATGTGGTCAACAACTTGCCGAAGTCCTTAAAAAGGGGAGAAAGCAAAGAGCAAACAGTAATTGATGGCCGCGGCCAGTCCCCGTCTTCTTGATCCACTGCACAAGAGCTTCTCCATCAAATCCAACAAAAAATCCCTATGGTTCCTTGGTTAATATAATATACTGTAATTGTGTATAATATTGTAAAATATAGTTTCTGGTGCAGATCACTCACTTCAAGGCCTGCTGTGGAAGTCCAATCGCCTTTGCCACTGCCGAGCTTCGACGATCTCCCTGGCAAAGCCAATCGAAACGATCTGCTCCAAGGTCCAATTTCTCCAATCCCAAACCTTCTGACAGGGAGCTCGACATGTCTTGCGATTCATTGTCTTGTAAGCCAAGTAAATAACAGGAACCACGAATAATAACTTTTTTTTTTGGCACGTCTTTTTCCATCTGTCGGCTCTCATGAGAACATTTGTCTCAGATCTTTGTTCCTTTGGAACACGCATCTGGCAGCCAAACGGGTTGTGATCTTGATGTCACCGTCGGTGGTGCGCGTTCTGGAGTGGCATCGGCTGCATTCCAACGAAGTGCCCTTGCGCATCATGGTGTGGGAGCTGTGCCCGGGCCATTCGTCAGGCGGCACAGGGCCCACATGGCATGGTTCGGCCATGAACTTGTTGAAGGCTTCTTCATTGGTTCTCGCTAAAATGTAGCTTTTGCATTCACTGCATCGAAGGTAAGCACGGTCCAACTTCAAGTGGTGAATGCCCGGCTGAGGTGCCTGTTGCGAGGCCACAAGGGCATGAATCATTTCCATTCTTGTTTGCCTCGGAGGTGTGGATCTTGGAGCTTTCTCACACGGCCGTTCGTTGGCATCCTTCAGCTCCTCCAGCATATTCTTGGTGTGATACCTGAGCTTGCAGTGGCGACACTGGATGCCACTTCGAAAGGCCTCCCAGGCATGACCCGCACTCGACTCCTTGACCAATAAGTCGGCCAGGATCATTTTCTTCTGGTGCAACAGAGGCACTTTGGTCTCCATGACCTTGTCCTTCTGGTGCAGGGAATGGTCTTTGTGGCGTAGCAAGATGCTCATACGCTCTCCTGCCTGCAAGAGGATTTCATGCGCATCATTGTCAACATGAGCTTGCATGTCCAGGATCTCCGTGGGCTCGAAGAGTTTGCCCGTCTTTGAAGCCAACTTCTGGGTGTCCTTCTGAGTAACCCTCCTCAATTCGTTCTGCTGGAGCTCCTTGGTGGAGAAAAGGAGGGGCCACACATGGTCGAAATCCTCAAACTCGAGCCCTGGGAAAAGATCAGGGAAGGTCTCGAAGGCGACATGCGGCTTCCAGGTCTGCCAGGACTTGACATCATACAGAGCAACTGGTGTCTTCTCCACCACACGCAAAGCCATCTGCTTTAAGGCATAGAAGAGGGCTCTCCGTCGGGTGGCCGGCGCAGGGCAGATGCCAGTGATGGATGCGATTTGCTGTCTGGTTTTGGTGTGGTGAACGCAAACCGCAAAGGCGAATCTTCTGTGGCGTTTGTCACCACAGGTAGGTGCCACAGCAATGGAGCAAATGTGCCCTTTGTCATGCTTGAGAAATCCCAAGTCCTGCCAGAGGCCTGTGCCTTCGATGGTGGCAAGACCTTCTTCAGGCTCGTAAAAGAGGCTTTGCACAAAGCCCCGTTGCCACAATTCCGGATCCGTCCCAAAGTTGAGTCTGGAGATCCATTCCGCCGGCAAAGCCTTTGTCCGCCCCTTCCAGAAGGAGCACTCCCAAAGAAGGTGCACAAAGGTCAAGTCAACTCCGCACAAGGGACAGTGACCAGAAATGCCATGCAAAGTGCCTTGATGCAAAGCTCGTAGGCCTGTGGCAATCTCCTCACTGGTGCTTCGTTGGATGTGTTGACTGATCATCCAATCCAATGGTCTCTCCATGTCGTGGCAGCCTTCATAACGTGTCAATCTCAACAACCGCTGCCAACGAAATTCAGTCTGCATCTGGGAGTGAATCAATGGCCATGGATCCATCAAGGAAATGTAGCAATCAGGGATGCCACCATAGCCTGTTCGCTTCCATTTGTGGCCATTGGAGACATCAAATTCCAGATCCATCATGTAGGCTTGAAGTGCCTGGAGCGGGCCCGTCACCACCTGCCAACGATACTTGGCCTTCTGCAAGTTTAAGGCCAGATTCCAGCTAGACCAGAAAAGGTGCTGCTTGCTTGCATCAAATCCATGAAACACCTTCCAAACTGTATGCAGATGTTGCATGATGATGGAATCTCCTGGATCTGGCTGATCCTTGTGCATGTCGAAGACCACATCAACAGACCCTGAGCGTTGCAATCGTAAGCCTCTGGCGGCCAGGACACGGAGTTGCTGGCGTCTTTGTGGCGCCAGTCCATTTGCTTGGGCTCCCCAGGACATCACCGGATGGATCGCCCCTTTGTGAAGGTGATAGCGGATGCCAGTGCTGATGCGGAGGCGATGCATGATGCCCACTCTGCCCTTGCCCTTCAAGAATCTCTTGCGTATCTGGGTGACCCTCCTCTTGCGAGCAGCTGTGGAGTCCACTCCAAGGTCCCTCAGGACATCATAGTGTTCAGGATCTCCGTCACGAAGAAGGGCTTTCAAAGCTCGAGCTGCCTCTTTTGAACTTGTCAAGAACCCTGTCTTGTCCGTGTTCAACTTCAAACCAGCTAGCTCCATTTGGGTCTGAAGCGTTCGGAAGGCCCCCAAAGCTTCTCTTGCAGCAAAATCAGGATCTCGGCTATGGACGTCAAAACTAACATCATCAACCCAAGTCTGAAGCGCTGCTGCTGGATGCTCGGTGACCATAGTCTTGAGCGGCCGGAACAAGATGAGCTTAGAGATGGCCGGCGCCTGAGGGCGCCCTTGCAAAATGCCTCGATCATAGTGTTTGGGGTCACCGTTGATGCCTTCAGCTTGAAGCGTCCTGGGACCACGGTAAAGGTCAAGAGCCAGCTTCAGATGCAGAGGTGGATAGGCAAGTTCGCGGGCTGGTTCAATGATGGCGTCCAGGTCTACATGATCATAGAAGCACGTAAGGTCAGCCAAACAGGTGACAGTGTGAATGCCCTGGTGTTTGGCGATCTCTGCGCGCAGCATGCGTCCAATGGCAATGCTCAAGCAATCCTTGCCAGGTCTGGCCTGATCCCGTGGGAGGTTCTCATCCAGGGAAAGTTGCCACCGTTGGAGGTCCGCCTTTCGGTGAGGGCAATAGGCCGCTCCACCCTGTCGTTCTTGGGAATGAGGACGATGTTAGTCACCCGTAGTTGGATGGGTAACTCTGCTTCCCGCTCCATGTTAGTGAGCAAACCCGCCAGTTTGGCCACTGCAGGGTAGGGCAAGTGCCTCAGGAAGTCATAGGATATCCCATCAGGACCCGCGGCCTTGTTGGGGAGGCACCGGAGCATTTGACCCAATAGATGAGATTGGATGGGTGGCAACTGTTGCGCTTGATCCTGAGCTGCCTGGTGCAAAAGGTCCCATTGTCGAAGTGGCCGTGGGTCAGCTCGGGGATGCCAAATGTCCTCCCATTGCTGCTGTCTTGCTGCTTGGCGCTGTTCTAAGGGAAGATGTTGATGAGGTCGTTGCCACGGAACATCCTTTTGTCGCAGGCAACGAAACAGCCCCCGTAGGCCTTTCTGGTGAGCTTTCTCCAGCCAAACTTTGTACTCCTCAGTGGTGGTGGCAAAGATGGCTTTGTGAGCTGTCTGCTCTTCCTCAGCTATGATGCGTCGGATCTCCAATGGTTCATTCTCAGGATGTTGTATCCAATGCGTCAGCAGCGCACGGAACAAATCTTGGCTCATGTGGTCGGAAGCATGTTGGTGAAGAGTGTCCAACATATTGAGAAGAGCTTGTGCCACCCTGGTGGGTTGGGACTGATGCACAATGTTGATCCGGATCTTCATTTTGTCCCAATAAGCCACTGACCCTTTCTTCCAGGTTTGGGACCTGGCGTGGTCCACCAAAGGTGCCTGGTAGATGGAGATCTTGGAGCCTCTGCCAGTGGTGGGATTGTGAAGTAGCTGAGTCAAGTACTTCTCCGTTTGTGTGGCCCACCGAGCGAAATCAGACACAAGACCCGTGATAGCCTGTCCCATGATGTGAAAAGGGCCATCATCTTCCCAGAAACTGGTCCAAGCCGCTGGTAGAGCATGTGCGCGCCCAATGGGTGGAAATCTCTGCAACTGTTGAACCGGGATGGCGGCGTAGTCACAGTTGAAGGTCACCTCAAGGGCACAATGTGGCTTCCAAGGAACCTCCCAATTGGCAGCGAGAGTGAGGCTGTGCACCAGAGAAGTGGACACCAAGAGGTAATCGAGTTGTGCTCCTTGGAGAGTGGTGGGGCCCTTGGTGTCCATGATCTCAGCTCTGAATTTGCTTTGAATGACAGTGGCCGCCAGGGCTCCAGGGTCATTCTGCCAGTCCCCTTGCAGGATGAAGGGAGCGCCGATGTGACTCAAATAGTTGAGGAGAGAGCCCAAAATGTCCGCGTTGGAGGCAGATTGAAGAGTCTCCCCAGTCTTGAGGTACAGCTGGATGATGAAAATCATGCTATCGTGCCTCTGGAGTCCAACGGACATCCACCCATTCCCCTCTAAAGTGTAAGAGTGATCCAAGTGGGTGATGTGCCTGGAGCCGTGAAGTGTGAGGAAGCCACCTGTGTTGCCTCCCCGGCCAGTGTTGGTGGCAGCGACTCCATGGCTTTTCCAGCCCCTGGCATTGAAATACTGCTGCACTTCAGCCAACTTCTTGTCTCCTAAATGCGTCTCCTGGAGGAACAGCAGGTGGTCGCCTTTGGTCCAGATCCAATCTTGCACTCTCCCCCCCAAAGGAGGTAACATTGGCGAAGATGAGATGAAGAGTCTCATAGTGATGTTTGGCCCTTTTGGCCTGGCTAGGCTGCAAGGCGTCGACCGTGTCCGGGACTAGTTCCTGCTGATCATGGATCAACCAGAGCTGCACCACTTCCTGTTCCTGTTGCGTAGTGATCTGCCCCAGAGGTTGTGGATATTGGTCATCATCGGCCAGCCAATACGCATTGTCCATTGCATGAATGGTGACATAGTGACCATTTTCGTGTCCACGCCCTTGATGAAGCACCAGGCTGACGATCCGGTAGGTGGCTTGGTGCACATGGATGCCATCATCCGAAAAAGGGATGTTGACGCTGGTGCCAAACTCCAGGGCTCTTTCATGCTTGGTCCATTGACCTTGAATGAGGGCGGATCGCTGGAGGTGCAAGATGAGTCCATCAGGGGTGCGATAGAGGTACTGACCTCCGTCTTCATTGGCCCATAAGTTGACCACCTCATCCAGCGAAATTGGTGTCTCCCCATTAGGGAACATCATGTTCAGGGGAATCTGTTCTCTGTCCTCCAACCGCCCATCGGCATGAACGTGGAAGAATTTGCCTCCATAGAAAGTGCTTTCGGAGAAACTCCACAAATGCCCTGCGAAGTCACCGATGTCGGCCTGGCGGCCTTCCTGGAAGTGCTGCAGGACATGATGCATCTGCGTGAGCTCTTGCAAATGTGATGGTTGATCCGCTGAGAGGAATTGACGAACCGCTTCATGAGTGCGGCCCCATGCGATCGATTGGCCCTCTGCATGCGCCCCGGCCCAACTCCAGCAACGGAAGACGGAGTTCCCGAAACACATGTTGCGCGGGTTTCGAAGGACGCTCGTCAGAGCCTGGGCCACCACATAAACATTGGTGGCAAGGTGAGGAACGTCACCTTGAACAGCTAGGATTTTGTGGAGCGTGTTCTCCATTCTGCGTAGATCAACCAGAAATTGTTGTCCTTTGACGATTGTCCAATGAGCCTCAAAATCCGACCTCGAAGCATCAAGGTCTTTCTTGCATACAGGGCTTGTTGCCCCGGAGTCAAAAAGGAGGACGAAGGATGCAGTGGTCCTCGTCCATGATGTTCATCAAAAGTGCAACCAGGCGAGCCTGTGGGGTCCCGTGAGCTGCAGAGTCCTTGGGGACCTGCACTGACGTAGAAGAGCTCGGTGCCCCTGAGCTCCCTGGTTGCAACCCCGTCTGAGTGGAAGGGAGAAGACCACCCCCCCTCAGTTTGAAAGGATGAGGATCTCTCCAAGGTCCATAGCCCCCGTGACTTAACAGGACCTGGTTCGAGCCCCACGCTGCAAAAGTACCAACCGAGTTGGCTGTAACCCTGCAACTCACTTGATCAATGTCCCCAGGCTGAAAGGTTTCAGCAACCCCTGTCATATCAGAAGAGGAAAAGGAATCAAAAGCCGCTGTCGTGGCCCTGTTACCCGCACTGCTGGAGCTCCTCGGCTGTTTTGCGGTGCTTGCTGTCTTCATCTGACGCATCTGACGAAGGACGTTTCAGCATCGTGGTGAGCTGCGCCTTCTGATCAGGCGTCAAACTGACGCCCAGGGCATTAATGAACCCCGCCACGGCATCCGGCACAGTGTCCTCCATGGCTTCGCCATCCTGAAGTTCAGTGACCGGTTTGGTGGTCTTCACCATTTCCATGTATGTCGCACTTGTGGAGTTCAGGGCCCCTTGTTCTGCTTCCAACTTACTTTGGATCCCTTTCATCTCCTCAAGCATGTCTCCATACGCTTTCTTGGCTGTGTCAAGTTTTTGCTGAAGAATCATCTTGCGGTGAGAAAGGTCCCGCAAGGCTGAGACTTGAGCTTTGAGCTTGAGTGCCATGTCTTTCTCGGTCTCTGGAGGTGGCTTGGTGATGCGCTCAACGAGTTCCTTGACCGCTGATGGCAACTGGGCCATGTTCTCCTTGAGCACGTGAGTCAGGTCATCTGGATCTGCACTTGGAGGTGTGGGCTTGATGCCCAAGTGCTCTAGTTGCTCCTGTAACTTGGAATCCAAGGTGGTCCAAGAGGATCGAAGCAGATCCGTTGTGGCCTTGTGCACTTGTGTGAGCTTGGATGGCCTGGTACTCCCCAAACCCGGTGGTGGTGTGACCGGCTTCTGTCGAGGAGCAAACCGGCTGCGGGACCTGGAAGGGGATCGTGGTTGAAAACCAGCCGCCGGTTTGGCCCAACTCTGGCCACATTTGCGACATGTGTAGCCTTCGCAGATCTTGTCCTCCCAAATCCAGTTGCCACAGCCATGGTGTTTGCAGACCTGATACTGTCGGGTCCAAGCATAGTACTTCATGAGGTAGAAAGGGCTGGGGCCACCCGTCACCTCGTCAGGGACCTGCTCGGAGAAGAAGCGTAGAACCCAAGCCGAAGTGCTTGAGCCACCTGTCCCTTGAGCCAAAATCTTGAGCCCACGAATAATAACGAATGTATATAATATATATATATATTACACGTCATTGCTGATTGAAACGCTTGCCAGATCTAAATCTAGAATCAGAAACACTCTGAAGATCCCACACAGGGTCAGACAAGTCACCATTCCCAATAGCAAACGAACAAAGATGAGCAGAGTGTTCGTTCTTCCATTCTCCCTCGTGGTCGTTTGCAGATTCGAAAGGCAACTGCGACACCCGTTGCCTTCTCCAAGGCACCATTTGTACCACTGCGGCTTGCACCCTTTCCGTCACCCTTGCCCTTGGAAGCATTCCCGGGTCTTCAGAACAGTACCAAAATACATTCTCACAAGGCAAAATATTGAGCACACTTCAAGTCCAGTTGTCCAAACATGCCGAAGGTTGTTTCCCATCAACGCGGTTTTGCAACTTCAGACTTGCTCCACGCGAAGCTGAGAGAGGTAAAGGTCTTCGCCTGACCCATTCAGAGACTTCTCCAGGGGCGCGACTTCTCTGTTCACAGCCTGTCCGTTGTGCACCACAACCTGCAAAGCGGTCTAGCTTCGTTGGACCGCGTTCTGACCGGGAATGTCTGCTGGCAAGCACATCTATCTTCCTCGAAATGAAGATGATGCAAGTAAAGAAGTGAGGGAAAGGAAGGGGGTCAGTGACACAGGCATCTTCAAGATCTGTCAACTCATACAAATCCTCCAACCAAAATTGCCGAGTCCAGTCAGACCCCACAGCAAACCCTCCCTCGTGTCCATTCGTGTCCCCTGTCCGGCCTGCTTGGGTGCTGTGTAGTAAGGCGATGAAACCTTCACATCCTTAACGGGCTGCAGTACTTGCAGCTTTGGGGGAGCGTCCAAGCGTCCAAGCGCAAGGGCTTGTGTTGGCCAGCTCCGTTCAATTCAAGCGCACTTTGGGGGATCATCCAGTCTCCTTCCTTTCTGGCCAGTGATAAGCGCATAGTCAATCACACTGTGCCATCGCTTCTTCCGGTCCGGTGCGTGCATGGTATGAGAATGCCTGTTTCCATGTGTGCCATCCCAAGTTTGGAAAGGACACCAATAACATCCAATAACACGAGCAGAGTCGCCCTTCCCACACTGCCATTCGAAGAACACACGTTGACTCCTTACGACGATATGTCACGAGACGTCAATCGCCGCGGCCAAGGTTCATAGACGATGTAATCCGGCGGCAGCGGCCGAGGCCCAGCACCCCGACTCTCCAACCAACTCCGTGCACGTTCCACCTGAGAGTAGAGGCGGGTCACGCACCGACCTCTTTTCCCCTTGAGAGTAAAGGCGGCACTTAGTTCAAACTGCCAAGCAACCAGCTCTATGTCAGAAGCTGAGCGAAAAGGAATATAGACATAGAGGCTAGAGCTGGTTCACTTGCTTCCAATACCCATTTACACCAATGGCTGAGCGGCATTTTACAAACAGAATTCCAACCAGTAGCAACCGTCCCATGACTACCCATCAAACATAAAGACTCAAGACCAAGGCAGACTGACCCGAAGCTTCAAGTACAGCCAGCCTGCATGTTTCGCAGAGGCAAAATGATGTCCTTCGCCGATGACCACTGCAAGCGCTTCAAAATGCAACAAAAGCATTTTAAAAAAAGTACTGGGTGTCATTTGTCATTGTTCTGCATTAGACAGTTGCTGAAATGTGGCCAAATGTACTGAGGCATGGTACATGTGACGACTCGACTGCCGGGTCCTTGGTGCCAGAGGCCTCCGCTTTCACCTGCATCTTGTAGTTCTCCAGCGGCAAAGGTGGACTTGATGTGCCAAAGAGCTCGTAGTAGTACTCCCCAGCCTGTGCCGGTCTTTTTTTGGTGCACCATTTATTGGTGGCATTGCCAGCTTGCCTCAAACAGCTCTGCCTTCCCTACCACGGCAAAAATTATCAAAACTTGATGGTGTCATGACACCAAGTCTGTCGTAAATTGAACCAGTCGATCGTACGAGATGGATTGAGCGTCCATTCACGGTCCAACGGCTCAATGCCGAACCAAGCACCCTCAACAGCCCAGACCTTAGAGTCGAAGACTCCCAAGAGAGCAGTGAAGTGTGCTGGCGCCTAGCAGCGGTGCGAAAGGATTCGACCAGGCAAATCGGTGTTTGAGTATCTCCTAAGCCTCCTCTGCAATAAATTGTGGCCATAGCTGCTAGCCTGCTAGCTATCCACATTCCAAGACTCACGTGACTCATGTGACTCTTGTGCTTTGTGAAACTCTACAAAGCTCACTCAACAGGGAGAGCACTACTTTCCCGCTTTCCCGCGCTGGACAGGTCAGTCTAGCCCCGGTTCCAATCTTCCCATCGGCGAAACGCCACGCACCGTCCGACGCACCGTCCGACGCACCGTCCGACGATGTCCGACGCCAACCGGCCTCAAAGGGTAGGAAGGACACCGTGATCTTTCCAGTTCCACCCGCCTTGACCCGGCAGCGTGTGACGCCTCAGATAGGCTGACAGAGTGCAGATTCTGATTTCGATTCGGACCGGTTTCACGGTGTGACGACTGTCAGACTGATGGAGACGGGGGTATGGACAGAATCATAAGGTCATCATACCAAGCCAAGTTCCATCTTGAACACTCAATTTGCTGGGCCCGTTCTTTTGGTTAGCAAACTTGGCCAAGGGGCACTCACTACTTCAAGCCACATGTTGCATGAACATGTGCAAGTTGTGCATCAAGCTTTAATATGGGCAACATATAACAACCAACCGGCGAAATCCAATGGAATAATTGCTGCAATGGGATCCCTTGGCCTTTGCACCAAGGGGCTCAGGTAGAAGGCTTCCATGCCTTCGGAACGCTTCGAGGCCACCTGGAGAAGCAAGTAGAACAAGGAAACAGAAAGAACGTGTTGACATTGGTCATTAAACAATACTTCGTCCAACTACAGAGTTGCACGTTGCAAGACCAGAGCTGCACGTTGCAAGACCAAAGTCGCAAGGTTGAGAACAAGCTGTCAGACCACGACCACCAAGCCCTTGAAGCTCGATTCGCTGCATCAAGGGCAAGTGGTTCTACTTCTTGCGTGCCATAAGTACGGGGGTGAAAGAAAACGTGTGAAACTAAGCCCAGCCTCAAAGCAAACATGGAGGGTAGTAATCTCAAATTTTTGGAGGTTGATTGATTCCTCTGGTCCGCCCAATAGATATAGATATAAATATAAACACTTTATATATATATATATATATGTATGTGAGTGTGTTTTGTTTTTTGTTTATTTTTTCGTCCCAATCTCCCAACCAAGCTCCAAAAGGATCTGCAGAACTTTTTTCTCACAGGAGCTTGGAGTAGTGCATGGGTCTTCTGGCCCGGGTCGTTCACTTCACAGAAGGTTGGCAATGTTTCAAAACAGGGTGTGTCCAGAATATCTCACCCAAAGCCTGACCCACCCGACCTGGCCCCCTAGGGCCAGAGGCGCCTGGAAGGGGGCCCGGCGAGACCGGGCAAGAAGGACACCCACCAGATCCAGTCACGGGATCGCGGATGGGTAGTGAGTCATGAAAAGGCATCATAGATCCTGCTTCTTGGAGGACAGGTTGAGGAGGCTGAAGACAGTGCCTGTGTTGTCGCATCCCACAGGCAACCGAATCCGGCCTGCGTCCCCACTACACCACGCGCTTGCAAAAAAGGTGGGCATCCTTGCCCCGGCCCGGGCATTCTTCTTTCGCCACTCCTTGCCCGCAATGCTCAGCACATTGCTGGGGGTCCCTCGCATCACCCCCAGCAACGTGCTGAGCATCGAGGGCAAGGTGTGGTCTCCCCAGTAGAGCTGTGCGCGCGACAGCAAATGCGAGTTTCAAAAGCTTGCAGTGTAGCTCACACTGCCAATCACTTGAGCAAAAATGTCCCGGTGGGACATTTTGGTGTCTTTTGTGAACATAAAACTTGCACACGCAAGCTAAGTGCAAGTGTGAATACATCTACACCCTATAAAGCATGTTTGGAGGGGATTCACTTGTCGGTCAGATATATAATATCATGTAATATCCACTCGTGGACCAAAAGACTCTTCACCAGCCAACTTCAGCATTTCACAAAATGTTTGCTACTAGGAGCAAGAAGCTACTAGGGGCTCCTGCCCGTACTACTAGGAGCAAGGACGCCACTAGGAGCATGTACTCTTAAGAAGATGTTGGGCTGTACTTTGTATGTCTTTTTGCTGCCCTGCAGCAGTCTCTTGTGATGTGTGAGCTTTCATCGAGCTTGTGCAATTCGCCCAACACGCTACCGACCTTTCGGCCCCCCGACTGGGTGCTTCTCGGCATCGCAACAGGTGCTTTCTCGCAAGGCCACCGAAAACTCCGCATCCTCAAGTCGGCGACACGGACCGTCACGACACCGCCCGAACGAGGCCGATCAAACATACAGTTCTAGTACCGCCCAGCAGAAAATGGTCTAAGGCTCTTGCTACATAGCTGCATCGCGTTCAAAGCGTATGAATGTGTATCAATGTTCTCGGTCCTTTTTTTGAATCACGCGCGCCTAGAAAAAGAACACAGACCTGCAGTTGCATCCGTTGCTCATGGGCTCAGTGTCCTTACGGTCCTTTTTTTCCGGCTTTCCCAACCTGGCCTCGTTGAAAGGGTTCTCAAGCTCCACATCCACCTTGCTTTCAGGAAAACGCTATGACTCGAACGCCTCGTCAAATGAGTGGAACAAAAAAGTGACTGTTGCTATCTTACTATGCTTGTGCAACCCCCATTTCATCTTTCTATGGAGGCAAGCACCACCTTCACCAGGAGATTCTCTCAAATTCTCACCTACTGAGGCTGGGGCTGTGCCAACCTCATAGAGAACTGCCGAGACCTGGATGGTCTTTCTCGGTTTCCGCCCGGTGCACCGGCTCCTGACGATGCGTCGAAGACGTTGCGGTCAATGCTCTCGGTTTACATATTGCAGTGGTTTCAGAGTAGATGGCACTGGCACCCCAAAATGTCTTTTGGATGAGGATGCATAACATAAACCATTATAGACCACCTTTTGGGGGTTGTGCCATCTACTCTCAAACCACTGTATTTGGTACATTAAAAAACTAGCAAACGTGCCAAGTTGAAGGTGCCGTTGATGGCGCTTCTCGAGTTTGCAGACTCTCCCCATCAAGACTCGTTCTTCAACGATCTGGAGACTACGACATGAAATATACAACTGCGCGTTGACAAGTCTAACAAAATGATGGTCATCCTGAGCTTGAACACCATTGCAGCAGCATTGACATTGCCCTCTCGCCGTGAGGTAAAGATGATCTTCTCATCGACAATCCTGCAACTTGGGAATTGCCCTTGAAAACAAGCACTCAGTATGTAATGTGCGATTCACAGTCATTCTGCTATGTGCGTCAACCATCAACCCCTACTGCGTCTGCTTCACCTGTCCAGCTGACAAGTACTTGCACGTGGAAGAGTTTGCTTTTTTGTATCTCCTCGAGAACCGGCTGTGGAATTCCACGGGGAAGGACACCGTCTGCCTTGTCACAGGTGGCTCTGGGGAGAAACCGCCATCGTCTGCGAGTCTGCAGTCCTTCTCACTTAGATTCATTTAGAACAATCGCGGGCAAACAGCTTAAGGGCCAATCTATTGAATTGCAAAACTCCCCACAAGATGATACAACACACTCAACACAGTACCGCGCAAGGACCTCTTCCCATGCTGAATTAACACGTGGTGTTTCGCCTCGGCTCCAGCTTCACGATCTCGTCCTTGATGGCAAAGTCACTCCCGCTGTTGTGTCCGCTGCCAACCAGCTGGACCCCATAAGAAATGGCCTCTACAACAACATGCAGCGACAACGGATCCGCTTTAGAACGATAACAACAACAACAACTCCGACACCGTGCTAAACTCTCAAGACCGTTCAATCCAAATAACAATAACTTAACAGTCTCCTCATTCTTCATGACTCTTTCAGTGCTCGATGGCCTTCTTCGACGGATTCGTGAGCTCGATGTTCTTGGTCATATTCACCTCAACCGACCATGACCGATCCAGAGTTCGAGTTCGCCGAGTTGGTTCGGAGAGCTTCGGTCTCGCCTCGAAAGAACGAGCGCTGAGAGTGACACTCCGAGCATGGTGGAGAAGATGATGGTGGTCTTCGGCACATAATGCGGCAGATTCTGGAAGAGGAACATCACAAAAAGGAGCATATCCTGAAGGAATGATCTGCAAATCTGGTTACACACAAAGCACAGTGAAATGGTCAGTGCACAAAGCCATCAAACCAGTGGCTACACTAGTATGGCTCCTAACAAATAGCGCTTGCTTTAACATCGCAAGCAGGCAGGTCCTTCGCTTGCGGCGATGCAATGTCGGACACCTGCACAACAAAAAAAGGTGCCTGTGCAAGGATCTCTACTTCACGCCTTTAAGTAAGTGTGCGCCACTTCTTGGGGATGAAACTTAGGCTGCCAGCCTGGATAGGAAACTGAAGTCCAATCTCCGACAAAGCAGCAAGGATGTGCATCGCCTCGGCAGGTCTCAGATTTCGTCAGAATGGGCCTCCTCAACACGTGGGAATCGAGTGGGTTTCGCTGAATTCGTGTCCTTTCCCTGGTATCTACTGCGAGTCTTTGGTGGGTCCCCAGTTTTGACCCCAAAATCAGGCCAAAGGCACGTTCTCTTCGTGGTGATCCAGGTTGCTGCACTGCGGGCGCATATTTTGCACTGCCTGCGGCTGACCGCGCAGTGATGCGTCACACACTTGGTGAGAAGTGGTTTACAAAAAGGTCCTCCGGAATCTTCCCAGATTTATGTTCATCCAACATGGGACCAAGTCCCTCAAATCGTTGGAATGGGACAAGGATTCTCCCCATCGAAGGCTATCAAGTGGAAACCATATGAAATCCTAAGTATATATACACGGTGGATTCATGGCTTCCCAGGATGCACTTTGTCTCACCACCAGCCTGGCAGTGAGGCACATGGCTTTGGATCACCACAGCGAGGACAATGGAGTCCTCCAAGTCCGAGTCGAAGCAACAGACCTCCGTGGCACAGAGCAGGGCAGGTGATGGCCTCCATGCCTTCAACAGACCTCCATGCCGGCCATGGAAATTTATGCTGCACATATTTACATGTTGCACGTAATTAGAAAGGAAGATCTTCAAAAAAGAATCATAAATAGCCTGAATTTTGTCTTGCAGGAGTGTTCAACCACGCTTCTTCAAGCGCAATGTGCGATCTTCAGCTCAGCTAGGTCTACGCGGTTTGCCAAAAACAAAGAGTAAAGGGGATCAACAAATCATCAACATGGATGATCAACAGAGCTCACCCACGACAGTCCTCCCACCCAGCAACCTTGCGAGGGCTGTAGCGATCTCTGTTTGCACGCCTGCCAGGTCAACCAGGCTGGTCGAGTTCAACTTCTGAACAAGTCCTATGTATGTGGTCCCCAAGATGCACAAAGAAAATAGTGTGGAAACCGTAAATCGACAGTGAGGTGGAAATGTGTGAGATTCTCAAACGTGGACCGAAACAACTACCACATGTATTGATAAGGAAAGAACGCTGTTTAGCTGGAGCAATGCGGTTCATGGACATGTTTTCACGGTTTATGGATCAAGGGCCCTGTGATTCCTCTTTCTTTGGTGCCATTTGGTGCCTCTGTGATTCGTCTCACAGAATCTTAGGTACAAATGGCATGGCTGCCACCAAGAAGCGCGAAGTGAAAGTTCAGCCACCGCAGCAAAATGCATTCAGAAATACCTGTTCAGGTCGGGGCAAGAAATCGGTCAGTTCGAGCACAAGTGGTTCATGATTCCTCCATGAATGTCCCAAATCATCTGCAATCCAAACACAAAATCCCTTGGAGAAGCAAAAGTCAAAGATATCAGTGCGTCATGCCCAGGCACTGTAGACATTGGAATCGGCCAAGAACTTTTGGTCCAAGGCACCTACAGATCGATGAGGCGTTTGAGCAATGTTCAACCGTGAAGCAGCCAGGGAATCTTGGTCAAACATAAAAGCATAAATTAAGTTCGCAGGTACAGTGTATGTTCTGACATTTGATCAAAGTTGCAGCACAGCCAAGCACCCTTCAACCAACCAAGCAATCAGTAAGCAATCTAAACATCGCCAACAACATCGCTTGAAACCCGATCCCTTCCTATCCTGCGCCATTTGTGCCTTGCAATTCTGGGCTGTTCTTCTTCTCCACCTCCAAGTCCATGTCATCCACGCCAACCTTGCATCTGGACACGCCGAAAACATGCCCGTTTATAGCGGGTCTTGGAAAGCGTTGAAACAACATGGCTTTATCCGCAAAACAATCTGTCTGCCAAGGGAAAGTAAGAGTCCGGCAAAGTTTACCAAGTAATTCATACTTCTTGACACAACTATATATCCGATTTAGACCTCGTTGGTCGCTGGCGCCACATCTGAGCCGGCGAACGGGTGCGCCCACTGGTTGGTCCACTTCGGCCGACATCCCAGGCAATGTCTTGAAGGCCTCGGACACCATCCGACGCGTCCGACGTGTGGTCGGTCTTCCAAGGTGTTTCGGAGGTTGTAGAGGTGTTTCGGGTCGTCTCCCGTCCATCAACTTGTTGATTGGCCGTCAAAATCGCAGATTAATTTCAGATGTAATGAATCAAAATGAAACAGCATAGTAGCATGAAATATCATGTCAATATATTATATATATATATGTGTGTGTGTGAACATGTGCGAACTGCGTTCTTCTCAAAGGTCAAATGCCGGCGTGCCGGAGTGCGCCGCCGGAGGCTTCAGGGAGACCACGACCCGTGGCGAGACCGAGACCGAGACTGGTGTTTCGCAGGCTCTTTTGCTGCCATTCGTTGAATCTGAGTTTGCCCGAAGGGAATTGGCTTCGCCTGTGTCCAGGTGTGAAGCCTACGTGACACAAGTGGCGAGACGACGTGGCCTTCGCAGTGGAAGTGAATGCCTTTTGCGGACGTGTCGCGGGTTCGAGTCTGGCCTTATGACATTCGGGACTAGTAAGGCACTTGTTTCTACTAGCGTGGCACTTGTTTCTACTAGCGTGGCACTTGTTTCTACTAGCGTGGCACTTGTTTCTACGATGCCCTACGGAGACCTATGACATTTATGAATGGTCTTTTTCGATGCAGGCAGCTCTTGCTATGCTGCCTGACTGCTTCTGTGTGCTCATGCATGAGGAGGTATGTCAATGTGTGTGTGTTCTGCAAATTGTTAAGGCAACCTTTGGCAACTAAACATCCTTTGGATCACTTTGAATTCGGTGGTTTTGAGTCTTTTCAAATGAACCTGATGCTTCACCCGTGCGTTTCTCGCTTCAAAGCACCCGTGCGAAAGCCCCCCACCTTGTGTGTGACTCGGTTCAGCAGGAAGATCTTCACCGTCTGGAGCAGCGACGTCAACCACGCCTCACGGTGGACGTGCCGAGGCTCCGAGGTGCGCGCCGTGTTGGGAACGAACGCACGGTGACTCGGTGTCCTTCTCCACCTGACGGACTGGACCGAGGAGGCTTCTTTTGTAGATCCTTTGGAAGGGGCGTTTTCGGTGCCCAGAGAGCGTAGTCACTAGATTATGAAGAGGGTTGACCGTACAAATATCCTTGTGGACACCCTGGGTCGCAACAGCAAGCACAACTTCGAAGAATGTGCTTGACATTGCTTGACATCCTTCTACTGAAGAGCAGTCCCACTGCAGTAAAGCTTTTAAACGCTATGCCTTGGCCACCTTGGCCTGTCAACAGAGCCCCTGCTTGAAGAACTGGCACACTGATTTTGATACAGACTTCGTTCATTTTGTCTGGTGGACAGGTACCCACGTGGCCCACTGTTTCCTTCGCTCGAAACACTGAATCACTTCCACTCGGCACCTCCATGCTCTTCGGGAAGAAGATCTTGTCCACTTGCCTTCGAAGGTCCGCCATCAAACCGATTGGTTAACAGCGTCGTGGTCGTGGTCGCGACCCGGTGCCCATCGTACGCCTTCTGGTGATGCCCACATTGAGACTCTGCTGGTACTGCAGGTAGTACTCATGGGACAAGAAGTGCTCCGGACCTTAGGGACAGTAGCAAGTGCTGCTGACCAGTTTCTAAACTCGCTGCCGGAAGAAAACAAAAGAAGAGATGTGAAGAAGGAAGGTAAGGCACCCAATTTGGGGTAAGTAGCACAAGAACCTTTTGATATTGATGAGAACCAGTCACGCACACAACCCAGCATCCTGAGGTGCCCCGCGAACGGAGGAGAGCAATGCACCATGCTGCTTCAAGAAGTTCAGCAGCACCTGAAGCTCAGCTGCAGCTTCTCAACTGGGAACGCGAGGGTGGGCCGTGAAGACAGGTTGGGAGGTAACTGTAGCAAGCTCAAAGCCATAACTTGAAGCTAATGGTACCTAGATGGTTGCGGCATACCTCATGCTCAAGCAAACTTCTCTGGATAAGTTGTTCCCTAAAAATAAAGTGTTTAGGACCCATGTTCGTGGTTCTCCTTTTCAACACGAAAATCAGGCATATAGAAAATGAGCAATGAGTGATGGTGGTGTGATGGAACACTCACCAAGCCACGACTAAGCCTGACAGAGGTGGAAGGTTGCAGCCACAGGATCCACTAGGTGATAACATGTAGCGCAAATGGTCTCAAAAAAACCGTTCAGGAATCCTCGGGGCATGTTTGTATATAATGTTTGCATATGTTTGTACATATTCATCTCTACAACTGCTTGGCAAAGTGCCTAAGGGTCCGTGAGGTATAGCTTTTTCTACCGTGAGGGTTTCTGATTATGCGATTCCAGAAGAAAGCGTGCAACAATTGCTTCTGTCTATAGAGTGCTGTCTTGGGGTCTGCATATACTTGGCCTTCCTTAGTTCCCGCAACAAAAGAATTGGCAACATACTGGACAACCTGGTTTTGTTGGCACATCTCCCACTCCAGCAATGAAGGTGAGGATGGAGACGGGCTGGCACCTCATATTGTTGCATCAGCTGCAGGATCTTCTGCATCTCTCGGCTCTTTTGTTTAGCACCTGAATCTTTTGCTTCCATGGTGCGTCCCTCAATGTGACCGCAAGCTTCATGCAGCAATGCATGCCATACATCTTCATGCATGTGCAGCAATGAAATCTGTCTTCCATGGGAGCTTTATAGTCTAGTCAAACAATCTAGTTCATAACCTCCCCACGCTCCCAGCGTTCCAAAAACGCAGGCATCTCCAGGCTGCAGCCTCTTCCAGGGCCCCAAATGTCCCTTGCAGCCCGTGCCTCTGTCGTTGCCACGGAAGGAGGAACCCGTGTTGTCCATGCGCTGTGGCGGTGGTGCTGCCGCCTTGTTTGGCACCTTGGAGAGTGCCACCGCGCCCATACGCACAGAACACGACAGGAGCGACACAAGCTCTTGAAGTGCAAAATGACGTACCAGTGACGTACCGGATGTCTGCACCGCTAGGCACACACTTTCCCAGGAACCAGGACGCTACTAGTGGCTCCTGGCCTTAACACCTTTTCGCAATGGGATTAGTGGGATTTCATGTCCGGCCCAGCGCCCCGGAGAGTCGTCTCGCCGGTGCCCCGCCGTAGTCCGTGGCAGTGTCACAGGGCCTCTGATGCCGGGCCGCCGCACAGACTTGCCGGACAAGAACCTAAGCAGCTGCGTGTCCGCATGCACCGAGATGGCATGCAGGAGGCATGTGGCATGTGGAACTTGGTAGCGCATACAAGATAACATGTCAAATGGATCCAGTGCCAAAACGTCTCGCCGCCCAGCGGATGCGCATGGAGTCATACAGTAGCGAGTCACACAGATACATCAAACCGGGATACCTAGGTTGACCTATTTGGGAGGTCAAGCTACATGTGTTGGGGTTCCAGGTTTTGACCCACAGCCACATTGCTCTCAGGGGGTTACTCAATCATCTCGTACAAATGGCGGCCGTTCGAATTCACCAGGTCCTGGCAGCTGCGCGACCAAGCGGGATTCCAAGCATGTCAATCAATGCAAGTACCTGTATTCCCAGTAAAGCCTGTCGAACACCACTTGGCCTCAAAAAGACGCGTCATGGTTCGATCGGATAAGTTCATGATAGATTGTTACACACATCCTGATTGTTACAATGCAATGAAAGCTGATTTGCATGGCAGTGCTGCGGTGTTCCTGCGGCGTTCATGAATGCAAATGATGGGTTCAAATGGCACATTCCACATCCTTTGCCATGAAGTACTTGACACCTTGAAAAGGCATCCGCCCAGCACGGTTACGCCCAGCCTGCGGAAAGTGATCCAACTGGTTCTTCAATATGTTGCCTTGGTCACGTCAGAGTGACTTCTCCCAAAACAAATCCAGAAATGTTGGGATTTGTCCACAAATGTATATATAATTATATAACTCATCAAGCTGGTCGCACTTCTTTTCTTCTGCATCCTTTGAAGGGTGCACACGCCCACATTGGGCAAAAGCGGCCCCGGGGCCGCATCAGAAGCGGCTCGGGTGGGCGGCTTTGCGGGAGAAGCTTGAGCGGCGAACAGGGCATTCTGAGTTAAAGGTCAACTCATCAAGCTGGTCGCACTTCTTTTCTTCTGCATCCTTTGAAGGGTGCACACGCCCACATTGGGCAAAAGCGGCCCCTCCATCTCCCGCCTCTTCCTTCTCGAGGTGTTGCCTTCCCATTTCTTGCTGCTCAAGGTCTCGAGCCGCCTTCTGATACAGGATGGGCCATGCTGACTCCGGGACAGCCGCCCTCTTCCAAATCTCCGCAAGCTCCAAGGCCCACGGAAACAAACCAGCTCCTTCCATGATGCCCTCCTTGATGGACTTTGGAAGCTGTGGCAGAAATTGGACTGCCCAAGCTTCCTGCACGTACACCTCCATCACTTTTGCATTGATCCAGCGCCCTCGGCGCCTTGTCATGTCTGGGTTGTCGGAGGTCATCAGGAGCCATGACGCTCCTCCTGCTCTCAGCGAGCCAAGGTCCAGGCCCTTCTTCGTCCGGAGGTGGTCGAGGGAGTTCGCCTGGACAAGGCGTTGGAAACGGCTCCGGATCGTTGATCCCGAGGCCGGCCAGAGTCGTTGGTCAGGTCGCAGGTTCTCAAAAGCCGTGACGATGATCCTGACCAACTGAGGCTGATCCACTTTTGCCATCTGGTGGCGAGCACATCTGAACCGTGTCTTTGGTTCAGCTATTTGAAGGAGCACGTAGTCAATCGTGTAGTTGACATCAGACGGGAGGACCAGATCTCGTCTGAAGGCATTTACGGATTCTCCGATCCGCGTGATCCCGCCCCACGATAGGGCGATGATGCCGGCGACTCTGCACCAGCCCCAGCAGAGCGACGTTGTGAGGAACGAGAGCATCGCCTGCCATGGGAGCGCCAGGTGGTGTACTGGTGGTTCTTGGCGTAGCCAGCTATACGCCAAGTCCCAAGCCGGCTGGAGCAATCTCCGAACCCTTGGCCGTTTGGCCGACACTGCATTGACGGTCTCACTGTAGTGACCGTATGGTCGTCCCGCTCGATACAGCTCACGGCCGTACCTCTCCAGCAGGATGTTGAGGGCCTCAACGTCAGGAGCCCCTACCATGAGGATCTCGTCCAGCAGGATGCCCTGCGAGCGAAGCCATTCTTCGAAGGCCCCCATCAATTTGTCTCTCTGCCGCTGGGTCTGTCCCAGCACTGGCCTGCCATCAGGCAGTTCTAGCTGGTCTCTTGTCTCTTGTCGTGCTCGGTCGGCAGCATCTCTGGGCTGCAGCTTCAGTCCATGGCGAGGCGCGCCGGCTACAAGGCCTGGGTGTTCCAGGAACAAGATGGCCAAAAAGAGGGCCTGAAGCTTGGCTTGCCTGAAAAGGGTCAGGGAAGAGGAGCGCGGCCGGAAACGGCTACGGACATGGACAGGCACAGCTTTTCTCGGCAAGGCAGAGGTTAAGCCAAAGGCGGCAAGGCTGATGTAGGCCCCAAAAATTCCAACCAGGGCAGCAAAGGCCCCAAGAAGTCCAACCAGGGCAGGAAATCCAAAGGGAAGGACGGAAGCAAGGCAACGGATCAGCTGCACTCGAGAGCCTCCAGCAGTGGGGCCTTCTCCAGGATAGCCACGTGCGCTGTCAAACTCCTTCCGGCTGAAATCCGCCTTCTGGGTGCTGAACGGGTAGTGCTTGTAGTTGACGTGAGCAAACCTCCAGGAATCCTTACTTAGGCTCCACAGGGGCAGGTTTTGCAAAAGGAGAAGAACCAGGCGAACCCAGTTTGCCCCTTTTCGAGCCAAGTTTGAGACCTTTGAGAACTGTAAGAGTTCGGCGCACGTCGCCTCAGGAGGCAGGCAGCTCCTGCATGGAGGAGGGAACTCATTCTCTGGGGTAGGATGATCGGCTGGTAGTAGTCTGGTGGGCCCAAAATGGTAGGCCGGATACAAGGCTCCTGCAACGATGGTGGATCCTGCCCTCCTCAAGGCGGGTCGGAGGCCATCTGATGGTGATCTGCCTTTGACTAGGGCAGACATGCCCACGTTTGAATCCACGACAACGGGGAAGCGTGACTTTGGCCAAGAGACGGCCTGTTCTTTCATCAGTCTCTCAGCCGCAAGGACCTCTTGGATGTTTATGTGCTTAGGACTTCTCCAAGACCACACCTTGTCGACCTTCCACTTTGCCGACAGTAGAACATCATTGCAGAGCGGGCTCTCAAGACCTTTCAGCTTGGGCTCGACGAACTGGGTCCTTCGGATCTTCTTCGTGAGGGCCTTGTCGAAGGACTGGCCCAGGGCCGCGGCAAGCTCATCGGTGTAAACAGCTGAGGGCTTTGACCACTTGCCTGCAATCTGTATGCGCTTGTGCTGGCCATCACAGGTGCGGGTCAAGAGAGAGGTATCGAGGCTTGAGGTAAGGAAGACAAACTCCTTCTTGTGAATGGACCCGAACATGCACGAGGCGGTGACTGACTCTGAGGCGCCCCACGATGAACATAGGAATTCCCACTCCGGGAGCTTTCTCATCTTGCTTCTTCTTGGCTGCTCAAGCAGGCCAGGGATGTTGTACCTGACCGCCATCATCATCAATGATAAGGCCCGCAATGCGATGGTTGTACCTTGCAAGGTCTTTGGATCAAGTGGGTCATATCCTCTAGGCCTGTCATAGCCTCTTGAGGCAGGATGCTGTGCCGGGCTGAAGGTGGTGCAAGGAGGTGCTATCATAAAGGAGTCCAACTTTCCCGACTCAATCAGGTGGAAGAGCCAGGCGATGACTCGGAGGGCTCCACAGTCAAAATGCCGAGACCTATCTAGGTCAATGACTGGCCCGACAACCCAACCATATTTCTCGACTGCTGCTGCAACCTTGCCGGCTCCCCCGCAGATGTCCAGGAAGTGGAACCTGAAGGCAACTGGTCTCTCGGGGTCGACGTCATCTTGGTTCCCCTGAGTCTCATCAAGACCCTCTTCATACATCTCATCAATGTTCTTGAGGATGGCCTCGGACCTAGACAGCATTCGTGCATAGCTTGCCTTCTTCCTCCCAGACCGGCAAAGAGCTCGAGACAAAGCTTCACTCACGGGTGCCGAGACGACTGCCCCCTTTCCGTCAGAAGAGTCTGTAGCATAGCATCGAGGCTGTAGGGGAGCAGAAACATCGGAAGCCATCAGTGGGCAGAGCACTGCCAACAGGGTGAGCTCCTCTGCAACTGATCTTGGCAGTTTCACTGTCTTTGGCCTCTCCTGGTCAACCTCTGACATCTGGATCTTATAGGCTTTTTGAAGGATCGACATGAAAGGTCTTCGGTACATCGCAGCGGAGACCCATCCACCAATCAGGCAAGCATGCAGCGCATCGGAAGTTGTGTCCTTTGCTGCGAGCTCCAAAGAGATGTAGGCCAAGGCGAGGCGCTTTCGGACAGGAGCCGCGACCAGCACTAGCCCCAGAGACCTGGTCAGTGATGACGAGTCAACCTCGGCCCCAATGATCTTGCCTTTCTCTTCGTCGACTAGGTCCTTGAGAGGAGATCCTTCAAGGCCCGCGTCGGCATAGGCTTTCTTGCCAGGAGGATTTGTGAGACCCCCTGAGGTGCCTGAGCAGTGTCAATCCACTCAGACCTTTCATCAGGCCATCTTCCATTTGCAGCATCCTCGACAGAGATGGAAAAGAAATCATCGATGACGAGGCCAGAAGCAACCTTTTGGCCAAGGTAAGGGTGGCCGGATCTAAGCTCTTCTTCTTCCTGAAGCAGGCCTTTGGAGATGAGGTAGTTTCGATGGCTTTCGGTGGCAATCTCTACTCCAAGATGGTCTCCTTGAGGTATGCTAGCAAAGCATGCCTGGAAGGCGGGGGGCATCTTGTGGGCAGGTTTCTTCCTCTTGGGCCGCTCCCCCAAATAGTCACCCTCCTTGAGTCTGTCATACGCTCTTTGACCTCTATTTGAGAGGCACCACCTCTCGAAAGCCTTCGTTCCCTTGACGTCTTCGAGGGAGATGAAAGGGTAGAGGCCATTTGTCTCTGCTCTGCTCTTTGTCACCATAAGCTGGTGGTAGAAGTCTTTTCGATCCGTGACATTCAGCGATAGCCGTTGGGATGGGAGCCGAACCTCAAGGTCAAGGAGGCACTGGGCCGACGGCAGGCAAGAAGAGACACCAGGAAGTCGGGCTTCAACATAGTTCCTGGACCGTCTGTCGCCAATCATCCTGTCCGTTGTCTCATTCTTGAAGGCGTTGAAGAACCTCATACTGGTGGACACATCAACATCTTGATCAGCAGGCCTGATCAGCAGGAGACCGTTGATGTCCCAGATCCTAGCCAGTTGGGAGATGGCGGTACGATCTTCTTTGGTAAGATTTGGAGCGTTGCCAGTCCTCTGGTCCTCGGCCCAGCGAATGCTGTAAGGTTCGACATATGCCATCCATAGTTGATCTGAAAGATAAGGGGACGGATCCCACTGAGCATGGCCGTAGAGCTTGAGGCGGTCAGGCTGAAGGTCTCTGTAGGGGCGGAGTTCATCGGCCCTGTCCAGGTTCCGAGCAACATCAAGGCCTTCTTTCAAACCACCATGGGCTCCAGGGAAAGTCCGGGAATAGGAATCTCCACCAACGCCCTCCCAGGTAGCAAGGTCTGAGAGGTCAGCCAGAAGGGAGATCAGTGAGGTAATTCTACGGCCGCTTGAAGGAACTTCAAATGTCTCTCCAGAGCTACCGAAAGCCTTGAGCATCCTCCGGATGTGGTCAATAGCCGATTGCTGAGGCCTGCTTGGTTTCCGTGCCAACGAAGAGGCTGGGACAAATTTAAAGTCTGCGTGCCAGTAGTTCAGGGCCATCACACAAATGTGAAGAGCCTGGTCAAAAGCAACCCTCTTCCTCTGTCGGGAGCCATGCTTGCCTCCTCCAAAGACTCCAAGCTTCGGGACCGGCAACGGGAACAAGGCTTTTGAAGAACTGCATGGATGCAGTCTTGTGATGCAGAAGGTAGTCCGCAAGAACGTCGCAAAGGAGGTTCTGGACCTCAAAACTGTCGAGCAGAGGGATGAAGCCCAACTATCAAATGAGTAGGTCTGGAGCCTGTCCCAAAGAGCCTCAAGTGGTTCCTCATTTGGGACTAGCCCTATCTTCTTCACCTCTCTCGAGGGTGTCGGAAGCTCAGTACTCCCAGCTTTCCCGCTCCCTTGACTGTAGCAGGCACTATGTCCGGAGAGCCCCCCGACCGCAGGCAACGGTCCAGGCGGAGCCTGGCCGTTCTGAGGTAGAAGAGCGCAGCAAAGGGGCTCTCCAGACGGACCTGAGGGAGCTGGGCTCTGAGAGGAGCTAGTAGGAAGCTTTTCCCGGCAGGTCACCTTTCGGGACCCGGAACAAGGGCTTTGAGCCTCCTTCAGTTGGCTGTCATGCGTGCCTTTGCCCTGAAGGCGGGGTCCATCATCGCCGGAAAGGATAACTTGTTCGTCATCAACCTTCACTGGCTGGATGTGTCTCCTCCCTGCTTGGGCTTCTTGGGATAGCGAGCGGGCTTCTTCTTGGGGCCCGCCTGGTCGTCTTGTTCCTTTCCAGGCAGGTTCTTCTTTCCTGGCAGGGCTTCTTGTCTCCTGGAATTTATCAGGTCGACCTCCTTGACATAGGACAACGCCGTGGTGGCCCATTCTGGCGGACACAGAGGAGCAAAAGCTCGGAGCCTGGGATTCGTCGCGATGGGCCTTGCTTGGAAGACACCCGGAGGAGGATCCTCCTGCAGTGACAAGATCCACCCTACTTCCCACTTTCCAGAGTCCTGAGCCACCTGCTCCAAAGTCACCATGGTCAGTGCTAGCAGTTCTTGGGCACCGGCTGCATCTTCGTTCAGGAATGCGTCCGCCATCTGGCTGAGCAGCCACATAGTGAGGCCCAGGTCTCTTTGGCCAGAGTAGCCACCGCTTCTTTCCATGTACTTCGAGAAGAGGGCACGTCCTCCAAGAGCAGAGATCTCCTGAGGGACGGGCTCTGATGGCCTGAGGCGCCGGATGCCACCTTGAGGAAAAAGTTCCCTCGCCTCTCTGCCAGGTCCCTGAGCAGCTTGTCCCGCTTCAGCGAACCCTTCAAACTGAGGGCTGAACTCGTTCCTGTCGAGCCAAACTCCATGCCATCCTGACCTGCCAAGTGAGCCACAAGAGTCGTCAAAGCCTGGGACTGCTGGAACAGTGCCGCTGAGAGCGCCTCTGGTTGCGGAAGAACTGGGACGCTCTGTTCTCCTCCAGGGTAGTCTGGATCTGAGGGCAGGGCGAGAGGTTCGTCCACGTTCGTGAACTCCACGGTCTTCCGGGGCGCTGGGCTTGCATCGGCCAGTGGTCTGGACCTTGGCGGGCTGCCCACTCTGGAAACAAATTTCAGAGCGGATGGTCTGGGCGATCCTTTCCCCACCAGAGGGAAGTCCTGCTTGTGGGCCGGAGGCTCCTTGGATGATGCTTGAGGTGCAGAACTCATCAGGCGTTCCACCCTGTCTTGGCGCTGAGTCATAGCCTCGAGCTGGGAGGACATAGCAGGGAGCACCTTGGAGATCTCTGCTAACTGCTCGGCTAGCGTTGCCGTAGTAACCCTCTTGGGAGTGGAAGCCCCACCAGGGGAGGCCTTCGCCTTGGGCTGCCTCGAGGAGGTCTTTGGTGCCGGGGTCACAGGCAGGGGGGGAAATGTGTCTCTTCTGCCGAATAGAATTGGGTCCTTCCCTCTGTACCCCCTTCCACATAGGCGTAAGCCGCAAGAAGTAGGGAATTGGACTCTGGCAAGATTTCCATATGTGGTGGCGAGAAACAACGGATGCCGGGTCCTTCTGTGACTGGGTCGAAGCCTCGAATGCTCTCCAAGATGTTCTTGTGGAAATCTATCAAAACAACTGGAATCTCTTCTGTGTGGGGTGTCTCTGTCCCGTCCAACTCCTCGAAGACAGCAGGCAATGTCACCCTCGTCGACGGGCCTACAAGGTCGTCCATCGCTGCAAAAGCTCCAGCCTGGAGAACCTCCGGAGAAAAAGCTCCCTCTGGTACTGCAATCAGAACCCCCGACTGCCGGCTCAAAACTGGGATTGCAAAACTCTCCGTCCACTCCCCATCCCATGCAGTGAGGTCCAAGCCCATCACATAGGTCTGGAGGACTCCTTGGTCCAAAAACTGAATCGGGCCACCTGTCGCCATCTCTACTGCTCGGCCTCAGGAAAACTAATTCCAGCGGCAAGGCAGTAGACCCTGGCCTCAGCTTGGCTTGGGAACGAATGGCTGACGGAGTTCTCGAAACGTGGCAGGAGCTTGAAGTACTCTGCCGCTGAAGAGACCCTGGTCGGTCGCTGAACACCTGGGCCCTTGAGGATGATGTAGGTGGTGGCCTGCAGTGCAATCTTGGGGGTAGGTCGAGGCTTTGGGATCTTTCCCTCCAATGTGGCCTTGGCCCAACAACCAGCAATCCAGGCTCGAGTAGCTCGGGACTTGACGTCCTCAATGGTGCCACCAAGACGGCCACAAAGATCCACACAGTGATCAGGCAAAGGGGGGATGCTCTTCTCGACGTCGTGGTAGCTCGAGAAGTTGGTGCCGGAGGCACCGGTGCGCTGATCTCTTTCCGCCTCTAAAGCCTCAGTGACCAGGTCCCAATCAATGGTGTCGGTGGAGACCTCAGTGACCCTGTCAGATCCAGCGGCTGGCCCCCTCTCTGCTGCGGCAGCTGCCCTCTCAAGATTGTCAGCTAGGCCCCGAAGAGCGCGAGCAGATGCTTGTACAGCCTCAATCAAGATGTGGAGAGCGGCCTGAGCGCTCATGCAAATACGCCGAGAGGCGCAATGAAGGGGTCGGAACCCGATCGAAGCGCTGCCCAAAAGCAGCAGGTGGAGATCCCGGAGGCCCTGAGTGCAGGTGGAGCCAGAGGACAAGGAGAGCCGCGGCCAGGAAGCCGAGGCAGAAGCCTGTCACGAGGAAGCAAGCCAGGTAAAGGCTGGAGGCCGAGCAGTGCGCAGGGCAAGCCAAGCCGAACCAGGAAGACGCGCTCCCAAAACTCAGGAGTCGGAGGAGTTCCCCGACCCACGGCTGCATGAAGCTTGAGCGGCGAACAGGGCATTCTGAGTTAAAGGTCAATGATTTATATATATAACTGTGTATAATATATACATATCATGTATATATAAATAAATATATATATATATGTTGTGTCCAATTGCTAGTAGTCTTCAAGCAAGTAGTGATAGTGCAAGATACTCTACTGGCGGCGTTTAACCTGTGACGAGACGCTGTTCAGCCAACGCACCAAGAAGTCTGCTTGGGTCATGTCCTCAAAAGCGATTACAGGGCCAAGTCTTGATGGTCTTTGTCATCCTTCTGTAGGCGAGAACCATAAGAAGCCATCTAGCTGATACTCCTGGCCCTTTATATCAATGTCTTAAAATGTCTCAAACGTCGATCCACTCGTCCAAACGCCCCTCCTGATTGCCATAGCCTGCCATCGAGTTGTGAGATACACTGCCCGTCTTGATGGAAGGCGCTGCACCCTGCTCGTTCCCAGAGTTGTCCTGGAAGGAGATGAACGTTGCGAGCGCGAGAGACCCTTCGCTGCTCCACCGGCTGCAGCACGGGTATGCCGGTAAGCCAAAAACCTTCTCCCCTACTCCCAGGCAGTCTGTGCAACATGTGCAACCATCTAATTTGCTGTCCAACACTTTCCATTGCATAACCAGGTCCGGTGAATTCGATGCTGTGCTCCACCGGCCCACCGGAATCATGGTGATGTGGCAAGAAATCATGGCCTTCTGTTTTGGCAGACCGTCACCAACGCGTCAGTCTGTCCTCCTTTTCTTGAAGCATGACCTGATGGCACTTCAACTTCTGTCCACGTGCAAACAGAGCATGTATGTACATTAGTACATTCATCTACAAGTAAGTAGATACACTTAGTGACTTAGTGTCTGCATATTCCAGTGCACAAGTGGTCAAATCCGAGCTGAGGCTATAGCAGGTTCACCCTCTAGCGTATAGAAATCCGTGTTGTTGTGCAAGTAGTGATGGCCTGCCGGGCGCTGTTCGCAGGTCCCTGGCGCACGTTCTTCTCTTCAGTCTTCTAGATTCCAACAATTCACTTCGGGAGCTTCACACGTCTCCGATGCTTCCGGCGTGTCGGAAGACGTGTGGAGGCCAACACCGCCAACTTCCGTGGCAAACATGTTTCCTCCTCCACCATGCACCTCATTCCAAGAAACTGTCTCAGGCTGTGGCAGGTAAGGATGCAATTCTCCGTGGTTCCAGAGACGGGAAGAACATATGAACCTGCATGTGTTCCAGAACGCAGCTCTGATAGAAAAAGGATCCTGAAGCATGTGCGAAGCTTCTCTCATATGAAGAACTTGGAAAAGAGTCTTGCAACAAGAACATTGTTGCGCATGTGAAGCTGAAACGTTCAATTTGCATCTGCCTGACTCATTGTCCAGGAATTCGATCCTGAAATCTTGCAGAGTGAGAAGATTTGGAAACTTGGACTTGCCTAGTATGTCTGTGTTTGTTCGTGTGAAATCACCTGGTTGGAGCATGTTAGATACTCTTCAAAGGTGCCCAATTGCTATCACCAAGAATCTTCGCACAGAAGGAGATCGGCTTGTTTGATTGGAAGAAAATCTCCACCTTGGCTGAGAGGAGGATTCCACAGCACAACAGGAGAAAAAAGGCAAGTCAAATCCAAAACTACAGGGATCCAGAGAGTACTATCTGCTTCTGACATGATCATATGTTGCCCCGACCATCAGACTCGGTCGCCTAAGAAATGACGATGACCTTTTTGAAACTTAATTGTTCTTTATTGTTTCTAATAGCTTCTTGCTCCTAGTAGTAAGGCCAGGAGCCCCTAGTAGAGATGCCCTTGTTACTAGTAGCTTCTTGTTCTTGCCCAAGTGACAGGAATTTTCGGCTTGGTGATGCCGATCTGCTGTCCCTGCCGCTCGCTTGCAGTTGGAATGCACGTCTGGGCCACTGCATGCCCCCCGCGTTATCGGTGCGGAACCGATTCTACTGGAAGGCCGGGTGGGGTGCTTCATTCATCAAGTGATTGCTCAATCCGCGTGGACACTCGCGTGGACCGGTGGTGCGGCCGGGGCCAGATGCGGCGAGCAATATGGGCCTCCGGGAAATTGATGGTCAGCGGAATGCGGATCTGATCATTTGGCAACCTGCAGAAGGAGGATACTCCTCTTGACATTCATCAAACGGCCTTGATCAGTGATCAGTCTTTTCATTTGAAGGAGATGCCCGGCATGGACTAGAATCTCTACACATCGACGGACAGTGCAAACTGATTCCATGTTCAGGCCAGGCCCCTACGAAATTCGTCCAACCCCAAGCTCAAAGCTATGAGGCTGCGTGCCTGTACTGCACGTCCAAGCTCTCGTAGCCCTCGTTGACGATGTAAAACAAGCACCTCTCAGCCGAGGAGCTTCGGCGGAGCGGCGCCGACGGAAGAAATGCAGCGCACTCCGACGGGACAAACAGCACGGCCCAGAACCGATCCCGTCGTGCCTCGAGCGGATTCCCAGGGGAACGATCCTGATGCGGTGGGTCAGATGAAGCAGGGTTTCTGGCGCATACCAGGTTACTGTACCATTTTCACCTGTGCCTCAACCAAATCTTGCTCAAGGTCAGGTGATCTGGGCAGATTTGTTGGTTTGAAAAGGAATTGCTGCTGCTAAGTGTGCCAGAGGGGATGTGCTTAACTGTTTAACTCCCTCTGGCATGCAACTGACCATCTTCTAATCAATATCATCTGGATGCCCGCAGCTCAATGAGACAGGTCGTCAGTGGCGTGGCTCCACGTCGAAAGTGTTTTAACAAGCGCAATGGGTTTCGAGTACAGTAATTGAGTGAGCTCTGGCAATATCCTGCATGACAGTCTTAGACCAGGAACAAGAAAGCTGCTGCATAGATCTGTATAGTAGGCATATATATATGTATATAACTCATACAACCACTAGTCACTAGACTAGCACATATGCCCTGCTACTAGCCTGGCAACAAAATCCTGGGTTGTGTGGATTTCTTTGGGGTCTTGTTCGAACTCTAGATTTCTCAAACCTTCAGCTGGGGCGCGGCAGCACGATCTCGCGCCGGTCGAAGGTGAGCTTCGGCACCGTGCCCTGACCCTTCATCCGCAGGGCCAAGTACGGCTTACCTGGCCGGTTACGTCGGCCCGCAAGCGTCGCCCCGCTCCGTTCAGTCTGAGCCGAATCGATGTCGTGTGGAAACAAATCAGTACTCTGGAGCGCGATACGATGCCAACAATGCCAACAAATCTAGCTTCCTTAAGAAGCGCCCGTTTGCATCTGTCGACCAATAAAGCCGAAGATGTGTGCCTTCCGGAGCTCAGGCCATCAGCGTGTACTACAGAGGCGTGCCCTACTTTTGCCGATCACTCGACTCTAAGTCCTACTTTCTGCCTTCAGTAGGCTTGCTCCCGACTCAAGCCAAAGCCAAATGATCCAAGGAACTCTCGTCCGCATTCAGGGCCAAGCTAGGATCAAGACTCTTGCCTGGCTCCAGTACACTCGAGATACGATGCGGTAAGCATATGGCAGCATATAGCCGGAGAGAAACGCGCGGCAGCCGTACCATCAGCATACGTTCGACCCCACACAACCCCATCTTGGGAAGTCGCACGCATTCCTACCTAGTGAAGATCTACAAGAGGCTTGACCTTTCACAACGCCTGCGTCCACCGCTGTACTCCTGGGCGGAGAGATGTACACATTCACATTGGCCTGGCCGCTTCCGACGGATCGAAAGACATGAGTCATATGGCAACTGGATGTGGCTCCCCGCACAAAGGAGACCGACCCGGTTGACCTGACGTGTTTCGGACCGACCGTCGCGCTCCAAAACGCGCTCCAGTCGACCGCTCCCCGCTCCGTTCCCCTCGCGCATGGACGGTTGACGCTCTCAGCAGTGAGCAACTCATCCATCCCCCCATCACCGGTCACCGGACCACCAGCACGGGCAGCTCGCCGGGCCTTGTACTCAATGGGCTCGCTGGGCAAGAAAGCCGCTCGCACTAAACAATCCTGCCCAAGATGATCTGGAAATATCTGGAAAGTGTTTTTCTTCCGGCATTCTGGTTGCCTCCAGACTTGTCTACCAAGCATTATATGCTGGTATGATCTTGTGTGTAGGAATCCGAAGTTTTCCTGGCTCTTCTCGAGAGGCTGAGAAAGAGGGGCAAAGGCCTTGCCGCTCTTGCTATGTGCTCTTGCTGAGTATTCCTGTTCCCACGAAACAAAGATTGATTGACCTGAAAGCCCCCCGAAGCTGCAGGAAACAGCCCGCGTGTTGGGCGGAGAACAGCCCGCAGCAGCGTCACGCTGCTTTGGAGAACGGCTAGTTACCCAACGCAGTTCTCAGGGCCTGGTAGTGAGCACAACGGTCTTTGCGTATGGGCGTGAGCAAAAAAAAGATACGTGTTGAAGATGAGGATTCGTGTGGTTTCTGGCATCTACTGACTCCCAGATCTCCTCCTAACCAAGATCTGCTATGTCGGAGGCCTCTAAAGTACTGAACCCGCGTCTTCCGTGCCCGGACAGCCCCCACCTGTGCAGGATGCAAGATTCCCGACTGTGGATCCACGGTGAAGACCTTAGAGGTCAATTCAAGACAACTGGAACACCAGGAACACTCTGCGGGAAGCCCGTTTCTGAGGGTCAAAACAGTGGGGGGAGGGATTGACAGTCTCGGAAGGTCTCATGGAGATTGAAGCCACATAGACCATAGGTCACTGATTGTCACTGTATCCTGTATCATACTGTATCACTGTATGGACACGGGGCGACGGGACAATTCACAAAACGCCTGTAACGAGCGCTGCTTAACATGTGTCGCAAATCTGCAGGGTGGCAGCAGCTTCCACCAGCTTCTCTAAATCTCTGTGATGGTTGCACCAGCTGCAACTGGCATCAACAAAGAAACGCAGAAGGGCGGAACCAACAGTTCTGCACCTGGCAGAACCAAACGCCACCGACCTCTCGACCTCCGCGCTTTCGTCGATGTCGAGGTCTCAGGAGCCGGCCCCTTTGAACTTTCCCAGAGAGTCTGTCTGAATCTTCCACTCGATGGGGTAGTCATCTGTCGTGAGGATTCGTGAGGATTCGTGAGGCACGTCGGAAAGCGGTGCCCCTTTCATACCCTGGTCCTACTCTCTTTTGTGAAAGTTGTCCTCAGAGCCTCAAGAGGCACGGAGTGGGAATTTCTCAAAAGAGTCGATGAGTCATCATCGAAGCCAACACGGAAAACCACAACTTGATAGTCCACAGTGTAGACTCACCCTGAAGCACTGTCAAGTCAAGTCACCCTGAAGCACCGGGCCTATGATGCCCTGTGCGGAGAAAACATATATGTAACAAGGACGCTACTAGGTGGAGGCCATCGCTATTAGGTTGGAGTAGTAACAAGGACGCTACTAGGGTTGAAAGGTTCTGGATAAACATCATCTCATTCCTTTCAACCGCCACCCGCCGCACCGGCGTTGTGAAGCGCCAGTTCCATGACCGAGGCCACAGATTGGATGCCAGTGGCCACTACCTGAGGATCAGTGAAACATGTTCAACTCCATGGAGTCACGCAGTCACGCGTGAATCTCAGCATCAGAACTCTTAAAACAAAATGTGTCTTGTTTTCGAAAGGCTTCTTGGAAAATCCAGCCCTGCTAAATCAAGCAGTTGAACGCCATTTTGTCCGAGCGGTTATTTCTCATTATTCGAGCTCTTCAGGTATGTCTCATAGAGCCATCTCTTGTGGGGCGTTCTCCCGCGCATGTCCCCGAAGAAGGCGCGAGGAAAGCTGAGGTAGCCGAGCAAAAGGAACACTCCATCTGTGACTACACCCAAGCGAACTACCAAAGGCAACCCGAAGGAAGTCCCGTATAGTATGCACATCACGCTAAAAAGAAGCTGAATGATGTTGAGCATCAGCATAATCCATGCTCGCACATGATACAGACTGTCAAACGCTAACATGAGGAAGAATCCACGCAGTTGGCTCAAGGCAGTTGGTCTTGTTGCCAGAAAGTAGGTCACTCCAAATGAGATGGCTTGTTCCATGGGATTCATGCTCTCCCATGTCATTCCAGCATTGAGCAGAAGATTCAAGAGCCAGCTCGCCACCACCAGCCTATCTCCCCAGATTCGGTAGATCATGTTGAGGTACATGTAGTTGGTACCAAGCTTCTGACATGAGCGCCGGTATCGTGCCGCTGCGTCTGGCGTAGCATATGGCCCACAAATGCGACATCTGAGCGCATTGACCGGGCCGGTCATCCACTCGGTCACCAGGCCCTGCTTTTGAGCCTCCTTGTGTGTCAATTCTTAGCCTAACACCTGAGAAACCCGCAAAAGATGCATTCCCGCCCAGTGAACATGCAACTTATCCGGTTCAGATGCCTGAATATAGTGTGTCACCCTCTGTCGATGCATATATGCTGGGAACTGCTCGCGGATCCCTTGGGCAAATTGCTGGTCGCAGATCATTCTGTGGACAAACATGGCATTCACTTCTGCGACACATCCAAAGGCACCAGTGTAGGGGCGCGTGGTACCAAGGAAATAAAGATTTGGTTGGCGTGTGTTCCAAATTCCAAATAAATGATCGGTATAGGAATAGTGAGGGCAAAAGGGCATCTCCAGAGTCTTGTGTCTTGCCTCTTGGCAGTGAAAGACTTCATCAAACTCAACTTCATCCGTCCCAAGTCGGTACTTCTTTCCTGAGACATGTTGAACTTCCTCCCGATGGTACAAGGACACGAGTCCTTGTTGTATGAAAAAGTAAATGTCATTCAAGAAAACACCATTTTGTATCATTTGCTTTTGAAACCGCTCATCATTGTAGAAGCGGACATACTCATCCACTGGCCATTGCTTCACCAAATAACCCAAGCCACCCGGTACGTCAGTCTTGCCATCCATCACAAGGCCACTTGCCTTGTGTTGGAATTCGGTGTCAAACTTCCGCAAGTCCACCACCTCCCGCAGTCCGACGACATGAGCCACATACGAGGTGATCTTCCCAGCCAGCCAGGACGGGCTGCCGACCTTGGCTCCTTTGATGGGCAACGGGACCAAAATTCCGGTGGCGTTGGGTGCCAGGTTTCGTCCCGTCCAGTGTTGCATGGGCTCGTACTGGTCAAAAGGACCTCCTGCGTGGCCATGGGTGCCGCCTATCTTGTCCACCACATGAAAATGACGACAAGCCAGTGTCACTCGGTGACCCGAGTGGATTAAGCGAGAGATGTACATGTTGGTGGTATCACTACAGCCAAAGACCAAAAAGTGCTTGCCACCCTCGTTGCCCGCATTTGCAATTGTTTTGAGGTTCGGCAAAATGTCTGTATCAGGTGAGAACCCCACCGAATGCACAAGGTGACAAGAAGATGCCAATAGCTCTCCGTTCTTAGCAAAGATCCGATACTTTCCATCCCTCTCCTCCACACGCCCGACATCTGCATATGTGATCCGTTCCTTCAGCTCCGGAGTCAACTCGCCCAGTAGCTTCTCATGGTATTGCCGAGCAGTGTAGAAGGGAAACTCGTAGTCATAGTCCCACCAGCTGTAGTTTGTGGACTCGATGGTCGTCACAAGATCAAAATTCTCACCCGCCTCTGTAAGTTTTTGCCAAATACCAAAGGCTGTGCAGGTCAAGACACGAAAATCTGTGCCACTCTGCTCTAGTAGCTTCAGAAGTGGCAGGGATGAGACCCCCAACCCTATCACACAGACCTCACAATCCAGTGCCATGCATCCATCGGACGTAGATGTGGCTGGGTCAGAAGTATAATCAAACGGTGTATGTCTAATTCTTGCTCGATATGTTGTGGCCTTCAAAGAGCACCCTTTGCTGTGTAGTGCACACACTCTGTCGCA